GTTCTGTGTTCAAGATTGATACATACCAATGTGTTGATGAACGTCGAGTGTATACGGATAAGGCTGTCTTTCACCGAGTATTTTGGACCTTTCACCAGTGCATTGAGGCCTTCAAATATTGTAAACCCATAATCCAAATTGATGGCACGCATTTGTACGGTAAATACAAAGGAACTCTTTTGATTGCAACTTCACAAGATGGAGATGGTTACATTCTCCCTATTGCATTTGCTATTGTTCCTCCTGGTGAGAGATTGGATGATTGGTCGTGGTTTCTTAGCCTCATGCGTTTTCACGTCATGCATAAGCATGGCATTTGTCTAATATCCGATCGTCATCCCAGCATCATCAGGGATGTAAAAGATCATGCCGGTTGGCAGCCACCATTTGCGTATCATGTGTTTTGTCTACGCCACATCGGAAGCAACTTTAACACTAAGTTCAGAGATGTGGAATTAAAGAAAACCCTGATGAAGCTAGGTACAATCTTCTTTTTAATATGTACAAATTGTATATAATTCATCCTTTTGTATCTAACGCATCATTTTGTATTTCAGGGTACTTGAGTTCAAAGATTCATTTTGATATCAGATTCCAGGATTTTATCGACAGTAACTCTCAAGTAGCTTCATGGATAGATCAGATTCCCAAAGAAAAATGGTGCAGGTCTTACGATGAGGACGGTCGGAGGTTTGGTCACATGACGACTAACTTATCTGAGTGTGTGAATAAGGTCCTGAGGGGTGCACGTAATTTGCCTATAACAGCATTGGTGAAGATGACTCAAAGTAGACTTGTTGAGTATTTCGTCAAGAGACGTGAAAAGATCCAAAAGGCAAAGGCAAAGGGTTGGAGAATTGCAAAAAAAGTTGAGGATATCATCCAAAAAAATGATCAATTAACAGTGAGCCTCCGTGTGCGGGTTTTTGATAGGGACCTGCAGCTATTTGAAATTGAGGATGCCTACAATCAATCAACTCATGATGCAGGTGACATAATGAGGGTGGACTTGCTCAATCGCAAATGTCAATGTGGACAGTTCACATCTAGAAGATTCCCTTGCAGTCATGTCTTAGCGGTGTGCAAGGTAGAAAAGTTGAACCACTATGATTATGTTGATCCTGTGTTCTCAATTGCACAAATTGATAAGGTATATGCTGCTCATTGGTATCCAATGGGCAATGAGTTGTTGATTCCACAAATTGATGGCCCAACCATTATCCCAAATGCATCTTTGGTACGTGCACAAGGAAGACCAAAATCGTCAAGGATACAGAATGAGATGGATTGGGTTGAGTCTCAACCGACAAGCAGTCAGAGTAGATGTAGCCTGTGTAAGCAAATTGGTCACAACAAACGTACATGTCCTATGAGGATTCCCAATACAAGATGAATTGCGGAGGAAGCAGGGGAAGGGCTTAATGTTTTGATGGTTTAACATTATAGGCATTTATGGTTTTATATGCTTGTATTTGATGTCATGATGTTTGTATTTGAATGTAATGACGGTGCTATGTTTGTATTTGATCTCATGATGTTTGTATTTGAATGTAATGACGGTGCTATGTTTGTATTTGATGTCATGATGTTTGTATTTGAATGTAATGACGGTGCTATGTTTGTATTTGATGTCATGATATTTGTATTTGACTCATCTTAGTTTTTTGACTCGGAAATTATGCTCCCTAAGTCACACTCCCTTAGTGGATCAGTGTAGAGTGGAAACCTAGGGCAAAAAACATGTGTAATTCGGATTTGGGGTCCTAAACCAACAATTTAGTCGATTAACCTGTACTGGTTTAATCGACTAAATTGTTGGTTTAGGACCCCAAATCCGAATTACACATGTTTTTTGCCCTAGGTTTCCACTCTACACTGATCCACTAAGGGAGTGTGACTTAGGGAGCATAATTTCCGAGTCAAAAAACCCATGTGGACATTAAATTCCTAAAACCAAGTCGTATGTTGTCATAACGTTTGTTTACGGTTAACAATACAAGATGTAGCCTTTTTGAACACATGTACTGATTTGCTGTGATGTGTTATGGAAATGGAATTATACAATATTGAAATGGAATTAAATTCATTACACAACATAACATAGATCCAAAAAACATAACAATTATGCATTCATTAAAAAAAGTTACATTACATCAACGACTTAAAGGAAATACATGAACAAAACACAATAACATGATGTACACCCTAAATCTACTCGTCATCCCCGTCTGTGTCCGTCTCTGAGTCGTCCTCATCTGACACATGACCCCCATCCCTTGCTGCCTCAGCTACCTGACCACCTCTTGGAAGCTCCAGACGAGCAAGCCTGTCTTCCACACCCTTAAACCTTCCCTGTATGTGTCTAAACCTTTCATTCCCTTTCTTTCTCCATTTTTTATGTGCCAGCGCCATCTTTCCTATCTTCTTTGTCATTGCATTTATGCCCTTCATGACATCACGCAGTGAAAATCCACCTTCAGGTTCAGCTATCTCCTCAACCTCAGCCACATCCTCCTCCTCCTCCTCCTCCTCCACATCTGGCTCAACAATATGGTCATCTTGGGCAACATAAGGAACCTCAACCTGGGGCATACCACTAAACTCCCACACACCCGATCTCGTGTTCTTAGTAATCTTGCACTGCTCCAATAGACGCTTTCCGAACTTGCAATTATAGCCCGTGGTCTTCTTCAACAGCTCAGTCTCCATGGGAACACCAAAGTGAACCAATATCCTCTGTACCAGACAGGCGTATGGAAGATGACCCTTATGTTTGGCCTTAAACATAAACCAACAGATATAGTGCCTCCAGTTCACCATCTGGGCATGTCGGATAGCCCACATAATGGGAATGTCATGTTCCAACACCCTGGAATGATTAAAAGATCGCGGAAACAGAACGTGGGTGAGGACATAGTGTAGTATACGGGACTCCACAGAAAGCAACCCCACCGTATAGTGCAAGTGTTCCCCACGGACTCTTCTCTGCTCCTGCACGGCATCCTCTCGTACATATCCTGGAAGTACTACACCACTATCAGCGTCATACACCACAGTCTGAGAAGAGTCAAAATCATAGCCGAGTATCTCCAACCATGCAGGTGCCGTCATGATGATCTCTATTCCACAGACCCTCGACCTCAGCTCGCCCTGTACGTAGCTGAGGTTATGGTAGAAGGCCCGCACCATAAGCTCTGAATATGGACATAGGGTCTCGGCCAACACCCTCAGATGTGCCGCCTCCAACACCCCCACAATTTCAAATCCCTCCTTATCAAAAAAGGCTGTATCCAAAGATTTTGGAGCACATAACGGCCGGTTCAAATGGTCACGTACGAATGAAGCGTGGACGGCAGGGTCGTCCTCAAACAGATACCCATACGGGAGGTCAACAGTATCAGGCTCTTCGTCTTGTCGCCTTGACGAAGAAGGCCGCTCTTGCCTATGCTTGGTGCGTCTCTCAAGTGACTCATTGCCCTCATCGCTTGGTCTTCTGCGGCTCGTCATTTGTTTAGGGTACCTACAATGAAACATGTCAGCATTTAACTATATGAAACATGTCATGATGGTAATGAAAACTTGCAACATAAGCGCTGTAAACCAAAAGCAAACTTTTGCCCCATACAAACTTTTCAAACAAAAAAATTCACACAATGCAAAAAAATAAACCTTAGTAGATTAGGGTTACAAAACCTACAACAAACGCTTTGATTAGAGTTCACAAATTCGGACAACAAACAAATACAAAAAATTCCTAAACCTAAAACACAATGCAAGTTAAGAAACCTTACCTATCATTCAGATTTCACGATTTGGACCAAATTTGGGGGCAATCCACACGCCTAAAGGAAGGGTTTGGGGCGTTCTTCAGCTGCTCCTGCGGATTTGGGGTTTGGGCCGCCTCCTTAGTCGATTAGGTCATCCTACTCCCCCTCTGCCAAATGAGGGGTTTTTAAAAAACAAATCCGTCGATATTTAGTCGACTAAATATCGATACTTAGTCGACTAAATATCCCAAAAATGTAGTCGATTAAGATGATTTTTTAGTCGACTAAATTTGCGGTAGTCCACTTTATGAAGATTGACCATTTGCTCGACTAAAACAGCAAGGTAGTCGACTAAAAGGGGGCAGGTTGGTGGATAGTTCTTGATCAGGGGCAAATTGGTTATTAATTAATTAATGAGGGGCAAAAGGGTCAAAAAGCCTCATATAATTTTTTAAAATATTATAAATGCATATTATCCTTTCAAATCTTATAAATTTTATTAAAATTCTTTAAAATCCATTTTAACAATGTATTTAAAGTCTTTCGAATTCTAAATAATATTTTAAAATTTATAAATTTTTTTATCTCAAAAACATATAAAACATATTTTAAAATTTATAAATTTTTTTAGGGAAAGGATATTGTAACAACCAAGTTGTGTTTCTACCAATTAATCTCAGCATTAGATCGATTATGTTGATCCAACGATTATATTTATTTCTATCATTGTATGGTCATGATTTCTCAAATTTAATATTTTATATTTATTTTCACCTTTGTATAGTTATGATTTTCCATATTTAATGCTTTCACTTTTTTTTTTTGGTATGCTGATGATAAAACCCAGTAGAGAAACTACAAAACAGACACTGTTCGAGCTCTACAAACAGAAGATAAATCAGCAATAAAAACAGACTTAATAATACTACAACCATTGGATCATAATCATAACCAAACAATGATGGAAATAAATATAACCGTTGGATCAACATAATCTACCTAACAGTGAGATTGATTGATAGTAACTTAATAATAATACAATTTGATTATTACATTATCCTTCCCCATTTTTTTTTATCTAAAAAACATATTTTAAAATTCTAATCTAATATACAACCAATCGAGCACTAAACTATTTTACCCACAAATTATCTAAAGTAAAGGAATGACCTCCTATTTACACCGCCAGAGTCATACAAAAAAAAAGCAAGAGTAAAACCTCGCACGCCTTTGTTCATTTCTCTCGCTGCCGAAACCCTTGCACCTTTGCAGAATCCCTAGTCTCATTTTCACCATGGGTACTCTCTCTTCATCTTGATTTCATTCTAATCTTCCTAATTAACTGCATAATTTTTAACCCTTATTTGTGCAATTCGTCCAGTTTCGTATTAATCCGCTGTAGATCTTCATGTTTCGAGTTTCTGATAGTCATGTTTTGATCTGTGCTGCGTTTTTTTAATCCTATCGATCGGTGAAATAATCGATATGATTCTATTTTGCTTGTTTTGGTTCCATTTTTCTGCTCAAGTTCTAGTCATTGGGATTCCTTGAGTGAGTAAATGGATGCGACTATAGTGAGTGTATTTAGTTCGGGCTTGTGATGTTCCAATTTTCACTTCCCTGTATGCTTAGGAATTTATAACGAAAAGTTGTCTGCGGGATAGTAAAAGTATGTGTTGCTTGTTACATCACTTTGCTTGCATTTCAATTTTTAAGCTTCTGGTGGCAGTAAGTGAATTTCTGTAGCAAGCAGTAAGCTGAGTTGCATGTTATGGTGGTATTCTTTATTGGGGTAGTGGGTTAAAATGTAATTATTTTTTATTCCATTCATACTGAAGAAAAATTCAAAATTCAAAAGAATTAATGCTTTTGCTGAATCAAAATAAAAACCTTATACCTCGAATTTATAAGGAACTTGGTGAGTTGGAGGCAATATTTATGTATGTTTTGTTTGAATGGTAGATATTGAGGAGGACATCCGTTCTTTACAGCTTGACTCAGCAGGTAATCTACAGGCCTATTGATTTTTGCGTTTTAATTCTTTTCACTATGTATCTATGGCTTTATACCATTTTTTTTAAACCTTTCTATCCAATCTTTATTGTGACATAGTAGAAGATAATAATGGGGTGGTAAATCCAGAGGATGGAAAGCCAGAAGAAGTTGAGAAATCTGATAAGATGGAAGAAATTGAGAAATCTGATACGATGGATGAAGGTTGGTATTAAGGAAGTGGTTGGTTCTGTGTTTTCCCGCACCTTCCGTTTCCATGTTTATATTTTCTGGGAAAATAAATCTCATCTGTGTCAAAAGTGTTGCATCATTATACTTCAAGATTCTTTGCTGTGTTTTTGTTGCTTTTCTTTTATGTTTTTGGCTTGGCTTTCATTTGCAAACTGTACTTTTAAGTTTTAACTAAAGTATCATTGTCATTATTGTTTTATTTTGAGATCGGCCTATATTTGCTTCATACATACATTAGTAAATGTAAATGCTTCATGTAGTAGCTCCTTTCATTCTCCCCTTACACAATCAATTGTGAACTCACTTGTTCAGAAATATTGTTATGAGCCAGAAAGATATTATCAGCTATTGTAATGAAACCCCTGAAAGATATCATAGAAGTGGGAAAATGTATGTGTTTTTCTTTTCTTCCCTTTCCTTCAGTTGTCTTATTATACTCCTGTACTTATGGTTCATATTAGTATTTTGGTTATATCAGTTCATTTGTTTTGAATGAATGATTAATAGATGGAATATGCTGACTTTCCACAGCATCGGTTTTATTCAATTTATGACAAGCTGTGTTGTGCCTGTTTGCTGTGTCAGCATTAGAGAAATTGCTTGCCTATTATTGATATCGTTACGAAGTTCATATATGTAACTACTTGTTTGGATCTCGTCACTGAATGCAACTCCCCCCCCCCCCCCTCTTGTAATTTTGTTATAATTTTGTCATCTGTTCTTATCCTCACCATTCCAAAATGATGAAGTAATTTTGTATCTCCTAGCAACAAAGTCTTTCTGGCTTCCTTGAACACGGAGGAACGAATGATGCATTACTCTGTATTCTTTGATGATTGTTTTAATGGTTTGCTTACTATGTTATTACTTCACTGCTGTAATAGTATAAATTTATGTTGGAGATTGGATACCATTATATAAAGAATTTCACTTTGGTGGATTCAGGTCCGAAGCGGGAGGTTCAGGTACAGGCTGAGCCAAAAGGTATTGAGAAATGTATTTAGTTTTCAAGTATGTGATAACATACATATTGTTCTTTTATATTGCTATTTTTGGAATTAGACTGCTCATTGTCAAATAAGATATAAGCATCCATTTTCATGTGCTCATTCCATGACTTTGATCTGTAGTAAAAGATAAGGACATTCCTTCTGTGCAAGATGAAGAAGATGAGCTGAAGACGAAGAAAAGACACTTGAATGCTGTGTTTATTGGACATGTTGGTAAGTGACGAATTCCACACTGTTCCTTTATCAGTATATGGGTTACCAATGTTCCTTTTTGCCTTTTGTTCAGCTTTAGTGACCATTCAATTGGTCAAGAGTATTGTCCTTCATGTCTGTCATGTCTTGTGTATAATACGATTAGATGGCCATTGATTCAATTGCCTATCAAATGAATTTTAGATGTCAATCATGGACATCTAGTAAGCTAATCTAAACACACTAAATTAGCTATATGATAGATTCCCTCATATTACTAAAGTCTATCTGAGGAAAAGTAAAGGGAAAGGCAGTGGGTTGATGAGTCACGTGAGGTGGAAGGGAATATGCATGGAAGATTTCTTGTAACTGCCAAGACATGTGGCAGTAGGGGAGAGAGAAGTGAGGATGGTGTGAATTCAGTTAAAGAAATTTTTTTTTGAGAGCTGAGAGAAGGAGATGGGGAAGGCAGGTAAAAATTATGTAGAAAGAGGTATTGGGTGGGGTTGGCTGTTCCTAAGACAAAGACTATTCTGTATTTTTCATTTCTGTTGTTTTCCAAGAATACCAGAATTAGTAAGGAGGTGGTCTCTGTTTCTCTAATAGTAAAACTCAGTTTCTACTAGTTTATTATTTATATGTTTTTAAATTTGACTTAGGACTAGTCTGCAGTTCATTGGATATTGTAGTAGTATGTGTCCTATGGAATTTAAAAGCGGTCTTTCTCTCGTGGTCTATGTTGGATTCTCATGTTCATTCAGTATAATTTTCTTGCAGTAATTTATTCTTGTATTTTTTTTTCTAGATGCTGGTAAGTCAACAACCGGAGGCCAGATACTTTTCCTCAGTGGTCAGGTTGATGAACGAACTATCCAAAAATACGAGAAAGAAGCTAAGGACAAAAGTCGAGAAAGCTGGTCAGCTCATTTTCTTTGTTTCTTTATTGAAGGTGTTATATGTGTTCCAATGCCGCTTTACTTCCTCATCATTTTCTTACTGCAACTCAGGGCCTTAATTTGTTATGGTTTTCAGGCTATTTTACTGACATGGTTGAATTAGCCTGGCTAAAAAGGTCATAGTACTTGTGTTGGTTGTCGCTGCTTTTGTGAATATAGTCTAATAAATTCATGAGATTACTTTCTCTTTTTGTAGCATTATAAAAAGTTTTCAAGTTGGCTCACCTTCGATCTATATTATATGCGATAGTATCTGTCGATCAGAATGTTCAATAGTTTTGAGCTTTTCAGTACTTAAATCTTATGCAATTGTAGGACAGTAACATTGAGACTCTGGTCTGTTGGAGTGATGGGGTTTCTCAACTTGTGATGATGGACTTTATATATCACATAGGTAGAATATTTGGCTTGATCTGGATGAGATTTCTCATTGCTGCGCGTGGTCTTGTTGCTCGAGGCATTACTTTTGTCTGAGCATCCAAGTAACTATTTGCTGTGGACTGGAGTCACTGGACTATTTAATATCATAATAGATTAAACCATATAAAACAGAGGGAAATAAATAAGCATTAAATAAGTAGATAAATGGACAGTTTGTCCTGCAGTTTACTTTGCTTCGAACAAATTGTATGATGGGTAAAGCCATGCGAACAGAAAGTTCAATTAGTACTCAGGATTTTTAAATGTGTGTTTTTTATGTGACTTTTCGTATTATCTTATTATGTTATGAGGCCGTTTTCCTCATGGTTGTATCACACTGCCACATGTATATCTGTGGTTTTTAATGTGCACCTTGATCTTCCTTTTTGAAGATTTTATTTCCTTGCAACCAAGTACAAATATTTATGTGAAATCTCATTTTTTCTCCTGATGAAAATTGTGGCATGCTAATTTATTTATATCTTCTAGAGTCTGTTGTTTGTTTTTAAACTTGGTAATTGTCCATTACTTAATAGGTTTCTATGCTTCTCAAGTCTTAGTGTGGGATCTTTTTCTTTATTTAGTTTCTATGTTCCTTCATTAGTTTATAAATTTTGACCAGACACTAGTAATTCAATTTTCAGATATTTTATTGTGTTTTTAGCTTCTGGTCTCTTAATTGAAGCACACGTACATCTGATAGAGATCCATATTTGTGTTTTCAGAGACAACATGATACTTTGGAATTCAGATTTTGTTATGTTCATGTTTCCTAGCTTCTTTGTTTTAATTTTGTATATTTCACCTTAAATGTGTAGAGTGCTCACATTATAAAAATGTGGGATGTGGCCAATTGAGTTTTCAACTTATTATATTATTTGTTGAGAGGAGTTTTTGTTTTTTGTTTTTTGTTTTTGTTATTTTGAAGGGGTTGATGGATCTTTTAGCTTAGTGAATATACTTGATACTAATCTATATTAAATTAATGATTTGAAATTTATATGCTAGGTATATGGCTTATATAATGGACACAAATGAGGAGGAGAGGGTAAAGGTAAGAATAAATTTACTGATAAAATTTAACTGGTTTATCCTATTTGATGTAGTTTTCCTTTTTTGCTTATTGATTATATGAATTTGCTTAGAACTCATAGTTAGAAAGTTGTGATAATTGCAGGGAAAGACAGTTGAAGTTGGAAGAGCACATTTTGAGACAGAGACAACAAGGTTTACCATTTTGGATGCACCTGTGAGTATCTGTATTGCATGATACTCCTCCGGTCTGGTTTTTTTTATTATCATGGACATGCATGTTCTTTAGAGTAGTAGTTTTTTGTTCTGGATCTTAAGAGTGCTTTCTCTGACAGATCTTCTTCCCTTGACTTAATCATTTTTTTCTCTTATATTTTAAAATAATTTAATCATTGTATGTGTTTGTGTGGAAACATTTAATATTGAATTACAATGCTCATGCAGGGTCACAAAAGCTATGTTCCGAACATGATCAGTGGCGCATCTCAAGCTGATATTGGAGTGTTGGTTAGTTGATCTGTTATGTGTGACTATTTGTTTGTTGATCTTCTTTATATGCATCTTCACAAGCATTTGATGATATATCTGTATTTTATGACCCATCAATCAGGTAATTTCTGCACGGAAGGGCGAGTTTGAAACTGGATATGAGAAAGGTGGACAAACTCGTGAACATGTCCAGCTTGCAAAAACGTTGGGTGTGTCCAAGCTGCTTGTTGTTGTCAATAAAATGGATGATCCTACAGTGAAGTGGTCAAAAGAAAGGTGCTCTCTCTCACTAGCCTCTCTTTCTCTTCCCTCTTTCTGTGCATATATGCAATTGTAATGAAATTCCTTGCTGCTGGTGTGCCTCTAGGTATGATGAAATTGAGTCAAAGATGAGTCCATTTCTAAAGCAATCAGGATACAATGTTAAGAAAGGTATCTAACTTCTATTTGTTTGAGAATATGCTGGAACTTTATTTTGTCTGTTTTTAATTAATCTGTTTTTTAATTTTGGGATGCTGGTGTGAATGCATGATTTATATTTTATAGTGGATGGGTTATGTTGCATTTACATAGAGGACATGCTTTATATTATTATGAACATGATGGGGGTTGCAAACTGTCTGCCATAGTTCCCTATTAAGAATTTTGTGTTCTCATCTAGAGTGGGGAATGTTATATGTCTTGCTGAATGCTAATGGAACTTGGGGCAAGCTGAAGATGGCTGAAAGGTTGGTAGTTTATTTTCACAAAATGCTGAGCAGGTTTGAGATCCTGGGTATTAAGTTCTCAAGGGATGGGAGGACGATGCTGAATCTAGTATATGGAATGAACAGCAGCTTGTTTGGTTTAGAATCTAGGGCATTTAGGTTGTGCAAAGGTTATTCTTTTCTTGTTTCGCATGCTATGTCTATGGTTTAGGATTTGAAAATCTTATTGAAATGGACATGGAAAGCCCTGTATTTGAAATCATTTCCTAGCTACAATTTCATATTTTATGCAGAGGTATTGACCGGTTGATTGATTGTAGAAATGAAGTTATTTTACTAATTATTTTATTTACCAGATGTCTTGTTTTTACCAATGTCTGGGCTGCTTGGTTCAAACATAAAAACAAGAGTGGATAAAAGCACTTGTTCATGGTGGGATGGTCCTTGCTTGTTTGAAGCCCTTGATGCTATTGAAGTTCCTCTGAGAGATCCCAATGGTCCTTTCAGGTATTGCATTTCTGAACATTTTTTTGCTTCTTTTTTCCTCCCAGAGGTTCTTTATAATTTATTTATTTTTACTATTTTTAAAGTTCAACTTCTTTGCTTATATTGTTTTGTGCAGGATGCCTATAATTGACAAATTCAAAGACATGGGAACTGTTGTGATGGGTAAAGTGGAATCTGGTACTGTTTGTGAGGGAGATTCCTTGTTGGTCATGCCAAATAAGGTAGTTTTTTGGGGTGTTTGTGAGCTTTATTCCTTTATCCTTCCATTCTTTCTTCTGCTTTTTCGTCTTTGCTGATCATTAAATGGGTGACAACTGCACATAATTTGCAGGATCAAGTAAAAGTTGTTGCTGTTTTTATTGATGAAGATCGGGTTAAACGTGCCGGACCTGGTGAAAATTTACGGATTAGATTATCTGGTGTTGAAGAAGAAGACATATTATCTGGGTTTGTCCTGTCCAGTGTTGGTAAGGATTTTTTTTTCTTCCATTTATAAAATTTTGCTTGGCTTGAAAGATGTGTTGCAGCAGCAGTACATATTAGAAGATATTTATATTGAGATTTTTTATTTGAGAGGTGTTCTAGAAAACATAATTACACTAACAATTTCAGTGCATATTGTGTAAAAGCTAGTTTTTGTTTCTTATTTCGAATTCTGATATGAATAGTTTAGCTGTATAGTATGCCATGAGATGTTGCCACAACTAATGTGATGGAATCCAATTTTATTTACTACAAAATGAAGGAAACAATAATGGAGACATGCTTCTTTCAAACACTAATTGCAGAATAATACACCAAAAGACCCTAGCTCATCCGTAGAACCATCACACGTAGGCTCTAAGAGATCCCAAATCCTCAATATTCACTCAATACATGCATACCTCACTCCACTCATTCCCCCTCCTTTTATCTTATCCTCCAAGAATATTCTAGAAAAATCCCAACTAACTAACTAAGTAATTAACTAACCAACTCTTTTCAAGCCCATCAATACTCCCTTTCCAAAACTCATCTTGTACTCAAGGTGAAGAAAAATGACAGGTAATGTGAGAGAACTTCCACTCGGATCCCATTGTTTGAAGCATATAGACCAAGTAATCCTTGAAGTTAAAATATTGCCACGGCTGGATCTTATTGCCCCCTTGCTGCTATACTGCACCTGCGCCTAGTTTCCTATAACTTACCTAACCATGGAGTAGGGGGCCTCTCTACTCCCTTCAAGCTCTATTTTTTGTCGTTTGGAAGCCTCCTGCAAAAAAAATTACTTTGGGCCACAAGCACTTCTTTTGGAGCCTAAAAAATTTTCTTCAGGGTAGGAGTTGCCCATGACCCACAACCCAATTGAGACACTTCTAGGGTTAACTCAATGGCACCATTTGTAGATGGGAACATTAGTAGGTGCAATGGGGAAGTGGAAAAGATTGGCGAAAGCGAACCAAGAAAAAATAGCAAAGGAAAAATAGACCTGGAGCAATGCTCTTTCATTGATACAAGCGTTTGTAAAATCGATAAGGTCCCCTCCTCCATGTTTGGTGGGTTACGTAATGGTGGGGTAAAGGTCACCGATTCTTGTGCCACCCTTGTCAGAGGATCCTTTACTTTCATGAGACATAGAATGCGCCTTCTTCGATTTTCCATCTCCTCTTGTGTTAGGCGTTGAAATCGTGACCCACAACAACTCTCCTGGCCATCGTTTGCTGTTGCCATTCTGCCTTGCACTGTCGCTGCATTTGGGGCTACTCCTTCAGTACGATTAGGGTTTGCCACACTAGAAGTTTGATTTGGACCCTCCATGTTGAGCCGTAGGTGTTGGCCCATTTCGCCTATGAGTGTTCCCTCCTTGCAGCCCATTACATCCCTCCTTATTTCCCAAAGCGGTTAGTCCAAAATACCCGCTTACAGCCCCTGACTCGGTTCCCCCCTTACCCGCATATGACCCGCTTCAACCCCGAGTAGCTTCTTTCTCCTCTTCGGTGATTTCTTCTTGTTCTTTTCTTTCTTCCGCTTTTGTTACCTTTTCATTTTTGTTCTTTTTCTGGTTCTTTTTCATCTTCTTTCTCCCTTTCCTCTTCTTCTTCTTTTTCTTGTTCTTCTTTTTCTATTTCTTCTTCCTTTTCTATTTTTTCGAATCTTTGTGTGTGTGTATTGTAACACCTTGGGCGCTGACGAGGGCGGACAGTGATCGCCGGTGTGAAATGGCACAGACAAGGAGCGACTCCTGACAGGCTTTCAGCGGGGGGTTTACATGAATGAATCATATCGACACCCGAAAGAAAGAGATTCCAAAGACTGTGCAGGTATGAGACTGCACAATTGGGGATAAATTATAAGAATTAATTGGTACTACCTATACTAACAAAATACATATATTTTTCGGTAGCCCAGAACAACAGAACTCCATAGTAAAGCGTGCTTGACTTGGAGGAATTCTGGGATGGGTGACCTCCTGGGAAGTTTTCCTAGGAAGTGTGTGAGTGAGTACAAAGCACACTAAAAAGTCTCGTGTTAGTGTGTGGGGATAGTCATTGATTCTTGAAGCGGCCGGGCATTACGAGTGGTATTAGAGTAGGGCCTTTCTTCCAGTATGGTATGGTTTGAGGACAAACCAGGTGGAAGCTGGTGGGCATGTAACATCTTGGGTGCTGATGAGGGCGAGGAGTGATTGTCGGTGCGAAAGGGCACAGACAAGACCTGGTGGGCATGTACCATCCCGGGCGCTGACGAGGGCGGGGAGTGATCGCCGGTGCGAAAGGGCACAGACAAGGAGCGACTCCTGACAGGCTTCCAGCGGGAGTTTACATGAATAAATCGAATTGGCACCCGAAGGAGAGAGATTCCAAAGACTATGCAGATATGAGACTGCAAAGTTGGGGTTAGCTTATAAGAATTAATTGACACTACCTATACTAACAAGATGCATCTAATTTTCGGTAGCCCATAACGGATGAACTCTATAGTTAAGCGTGCTTGATTTGAAGCAATTCTGGGATGGGTGACCTTCTCGGAAGTTTTCTCAGAAAGTGTGTGAGTGAGTACAAAACACATTGAAAAGTCTTGTGTTAGTGTGTGGGGGATAGTCATTGATTCTTAAGCGGCTGCATATTACATGTATGACTCTGTTCAGCCTAAGCGTGAAGACGGATTTCCACCCTGATTTTCTCTCTCAAAACCATGAGCTCTACTCTCGTCATCTCGTGGGTTTGTTTTATTTTTCGACGTTTTGCCTCCCATATCATGTTCTCTTCTCTATTTCCAGCATGAGATCGCGTTCCAGATCCTTCATCCCTTCGATTTAGTCGTTCCAGAAAATCAAGAACCGTTTCCCTTAGTTGATGAACATGCTCTTTTATTTTCCCCAACTTTTCTTCCATTTGTCCCGTTTGCTGCTCCACAACTTCCAATGTTTTCCATTCTCGTACGAACCATAAAGCTCTCCCAAGGGTCAGAAGAGCTCTGATACCAAATTGATGGAACCCAATTTTATTTACTATAAGGAAACAATAGTGGAGACAAGCTTCTTGCAAACATTAATTGCAAAATAATACACCAAAAGACCCCAGTTCACCTTTAGAACCGACACACCTAGGCTATAAGAGATCCTAAATCTCCAATATTCATTCAATACATGCATACAACATACCCCACTCCAATCATTCCCCCTCTTTTTATCCTATCCTTAAGAATATTCTAGAAAAATCCCCTAACTAACTATTCCAATACTGTGCAGAAGCCATAGATGAGAGAGAGAGAGAGAAAGTATGAGAGAACTGAATGTGTGATTTCTATTATGTGAAAGAAGATACAAGGCAACCTAATATATATAGTGAGAGATTTCTAACTCAGCTAATGAGTTAGATCTGAACGGGACAAACAGAAAGCTGAAACAGACTTGTAACGAACTGAAAGTAAAATAATCAGATACATGTAAGTACAGTGAATAAAGATACAACACAGTAAGATACAAAGTTATATATCTAATACTAACTAACTCTTTTCAAGCTCATCATAATGTAATATCACATTGCAGTTTTTATTCCAAACAAATGAGCAAAGAGTATTGTTATGCACAAATTGTGGTGGGTTTATGAACTTGGTTGAATCATAGATAGTGATTCAAGAATGGTTGTGGGACCTTTTCCCACCACAAATGTGCTTCTTCTAGTCAATTAAATATTGAAATGCATTATGTTTGTTGTTGTTATGTCTTCATGTAGTTATAAATTGGGGTGTAAATGGGCCAGACAATTGTTAGGGGTCTACATCCTAGTATGGCTTGGCTTGACCTATTTTAAAAATAGTACAAACTTAAACTCATTAAAGACCTCTTTAGAAATTAGGCCACATGACTATTTTAAAAGTCTTGGCCTCTAAGCCTCCTAGCGTGGCCCGTATTTTTAATAAAATAATTTTTTTATTTTTTGATCTTTTCTAACCTTCCTCTTATGAATTTGGTTATTGATTTGGTTTTTAGGGAATATGGTAGTGTTATATTATCTACCTATGATGACAATCAATTACTTGTTCTTTTTTTTTCCTTTCTAGTATTTTATTTGTGGCTATATTATTATGTATGTGTAAGGAATTATGTGGATGTAATAGTTTCTTTTTTGTTGAGTGGAATTCGCTCATAAATGAGCGAGTGAATATCTTTCTTTATTTTGAAATTCAATTAAGCCTTTCACATCCTTGTCATTATTTGATTTTTGATCTCTAGAAACGTAATTAAATTGTTAGTGTTTTGGGTTATGGCTCCATCAACTTAAACATACAAAAGAAACAAAGTAATCATAATCTATAATTTACAGAGTGCAATTTGTCATTTTTGAAGTCGTGATAAGCTTGATTGGTCTTGTAGCTTGTAAAACTTGTTCAGACAAAACTTATAATTTTACTTGGTTAGGCTAATAAGTCAAGACAGGCCTGAAATATTTTATATAGGCCTAGCCAATTTAGGCTAAAGCTTGGCTTACCTGACTTATTTACACCCCAAGTTTTAAATTTGTTTGTTATTTTTATGTGGTGTGTTTTATTCCCTTTTGCAGCAAATCCAATACCAGCAGTTACCGAGTTTGTTGCTCAGTTAGCGATTCTTGAATTGCTGGATAATGTATGTATTATCTCTTTCTCACTCTCTGCATTTGGATGTTAGCTTTAGTTTCTATGTATTAAATCGTAAGGCACAAACATCTTTGCATAAATCTGCAGGCTATTTTTACAGCTGGGTACAAGGCTGTTATGCACATCCACTCTGTAGTTGAGGAATGTGAGATTGTCGAGCTCTTACAGCAAATTGATCCAAAGACACGGAAACCCATGAAAAAGAAAGTTCTCTTTGTGAAGAGTGGCGCTGGTGTCATTTGCCGTGTTCAGGTGCAATTTTTTTTGCCTTGTGAATATGGAAATCGAACCATTCCCTCATTAAACCTCGACTAGCTAGGGTAGAAAATTTGAAGATATATATATATATATATATATATATTTTTTTTTTTTCTTTCTTTTTTTATAGTATTGGTGTACAATATAGAAAACTTGTAATGGTTGGGGTTGTCACCCTGTGACTTGGAGGTCATAAGTTCTAGTCGTCAAATCAATCTTTTACAAGTGCTAGGTGAGGCCATGGCGGTCTGACCCTTCCATGGACCCTGCTGCATAGCAGAGCTTCATACCATTAGGCTGCCTTTTATTATTGTTTTGCTGTATATGAGCTTCACAGGGCTATGATGGGGTTTTTACTTCATCATGATCCTGGAGAATGATTGTCGAGTCTCAAATAGAGAGGAATTTGTTGCTGATGATATTTTTTTATTTTCTTATTAATGAAAGTTTAGCTTCATCTTGTTTTGAAAATGTATAACCAGGTCAATAACGCGATATGCATTGAGAAGTTCACTGATTTTCCACAACTTGGGAGATTCACTCTTCGCACTGAAGGTGAGAATTAAGATAAAATAGTCTTGCAAAAGTGTTTACGATATTAATATATCTTGAGAATTAAGATTCACTCTGTTCTGCAGGAAAAACTGTTGCTGTGGGTAAAGTCACTAGTCTGTGAGATTGTAACAATTTTGATTTGAGGTAAAGAATGTTTCATATACATTGATTCTTCTTGTCAACCTGCTCTTGCTTTTCCCGGTAATATTAAATCACTTTTGGAAGTGGCTTTCCTTGTTTCTCTAGCATATGTGGTTTGATTAACCTGATATTTCTATTTATTTATTTTGACTTATCTGCCATGCAGAGGGCCTTTTCTTTAGTCTCTTATCTTTTGTATCTCAATAAATTTAAACATGTGGAACTTGAATTGGAAACTGACTTGCTAGTGGTTAAACTGAAAATATCAATTATTTGGCATTATGTTTCGATCAGCATGTCTAGATTTTTAAGGTTATAGTCTTTTTTGCACAAATCAAATGATTTTAAGAGAATAGAGGAACAAATCAATTTGCTACCGGCCACTGGATCACTTGCATGCTAACAGCCTCAATTTTCAGTTTTCATTTTTGGTTTTTGTTGCCTTTGTTTTTTCAAATTAACTATGATACTTGTTTTCTAACAGCTCTTTTTGTGGACAGGAGGGGAATCCTGCAGAGAGTGGCAGCATAGAGGCATATAATTAAAAGCATCAAGTTCGCTATATATTCATCTCGATATTCATTTTGCTTTTACTTTGGCTAGTTTTCAGTCATGAGTTATTTGTTGCCGCTGGTGCCCCATGAGTACTTACTTGTATGCGGCCTTGCAAGGCCTGGTTGCTTCCAACCGTGCTGTTTGAGATATAAATTACAATTAAAATGGATGGTTTTGAATCATTCCACCTGATTCGACGTGGAATTTGATGACTTATATTTTAGTGTCTAACAGATATTAAAACAAATTTCCTACTCACAGTTGACTAGCATGTTTGATTTTATGTGTGTGCACGAGCCATTTTTTCTTCTTCTTAATTTATTTATTTATAAAAAACTATTTTATTTATTCATTGAAGAACACATTTAAAATTTAAATTAATTAAATAATTTTTTCAAAAAAAGTTAAAACATTAAAAACAGTTATTATTGTTTTTTTAAATAAGTTTAAAAAGTGATTTCATTTTTTAAAAAAATTATGTCATTAAAAAGTTTTGCATTTTTTTTACTCTAATTTAAATGTACTTTAAGATAATTCTTTAAAACAATGACAATAGCGATTAGCAAGTTAGTCGAAAGAATTAACATGTTTGACTTTTAAAGTGTTAATTTTCACTCAATATAAACTAATCTGGAGTGACTATAAAATTTAAAAACCACGAGACATATTACTCTTCAAGGGATTATTTTTCTTTTGCTCAAGTTGTTAAAAAGTTAACTTGCTGGTTTTAAAATATTGATTTTTAAATAAATTAGGGGTTCAGGAAACTACAATAAAAAGGATCTAATGTTTCTGTTTTTGTTTTTGTGATCTTCTTATTCATATAAAAATAAGTGAGTTTTATTAATTTTTTTTTCTCTTTTCTGTATAATGAGATCCATTTATTTTTATGCAAGTGTGATCTTATTTTTGCAGCAACAAAAGCAGAAATATATTTTTCAATAAAAAATAATATATGAATTTAATTCTTTTTAAGGGATTGTGCTTGTCAATGCTATCATATTCTAAGCTATGGTGGTATTTTAGCTTTTCGTAACTCTTAAAATTCTTAAGTTAGCGCATATGACTAAGTTTTATAACAAAAATGTAAACTATATTGAGCTAAGAAGAACTTGTATAAAAATAAGTGTGCTTAAAATTATAATTGAAGTAAAATGAGAAAGCTTTTTAGAAGTGAATTTTTTGAAAGTGAATTGCATAAATGTATATATATTTTTTAAATTTTGATAGATTAATATTATTATAGAGTATAATCAAATTAATAATAAATACATCATGAATTATTTATGGAAAAAATGTGTCGTTCTGAAGGACATAAAGTTGTGCCATTTTAAATGAGAGAAAAAGATAAATCATGGAAGAGAGAAAAAGTGAAACATGATTTAAAGGTGTGAGTCCCACTTCTTTATGAGAGCGAAATGATATAAGGTGTGTCATTTAAAATGGTACACATTTTTTCCATTATTTATTTAAAAATTTAATCTTAAAAATAAAACATTGTTGCTGAAAAAACTTCTTCTTCCCCGCTCCGCTGCTAATAAGTAATAATGATGTTATTTAATGATGACGATAATAGAATTTTGAGGACCACATAGGGAATGAATGAATGTATATATGGTCACTGTTTGATGCACCCCGAAATTACATAAAAAAAATAAAATAAAAATTGTTGAAAAGTGAAAGATATTTGCAAATGGCTATGGTCTTACATGTGTTGTACATTTCTTCCTTCCCCAATTCATCTCCATTGACATCCTTTAAAGCATCAAACATCTCAGTCTCACCACCACATTCTAAGTCTCTGATTCTCAATGCCACTCCTCTCTCTCTTAGAGGAACAAAACATTACCTATTTTCCAGACATAGAAGTAGAACCACCAGAACCAGAGCAACTCTTGATGACATTGAAAGAGACAACCTTTCCTCAACCCCACTTCTTGTTGAGGACGAGAACCCCAAAAAGGTATAATCTTTTCCTTTGCATCCATTTGGGTTCTCATTAACGTTTCAAAGCTTTGTTGAAAATGTTGAAAAGTTTAAGACGCTAAAATTTGAACCTTTAACGCAGCCTTTCTAGTTTTATTATCTTTTGGACCTGAGAACGCAAACACCTTTCAATATGAAAACTTGGTCCTTTATGTAATTTAATTTAATTTAATTTTTAATTTCTATATTTGCTTAGGAAGTAGAGGAAAGTGTGAAAGTGTTAAAAAATGCAGCTAAGACAAGAAAGGTAGCAGCAGAGGAGGTTCTTTCTGCACTGTCTGTCATTGAGAAAGCAAAAATTGATCCTTCTGGTTTTCTTGAAACCCTTGGCGGAAAGGAATCCCCTGGGAGGACCTGGATGCTAATTTTTACTGCTAAGGTTAACATATTTCTTTCACTTTTTTCTTTTGGTGGCTCTTCTTTTGGCTATGATTCTGTTTCTTGTTTTACCTTTTTAGCAATACATGCTTAAAATAATTTTGTGCTGAATTTCAGAAACAATTAAAAGGTGGTCGATATTTTCCTCTCACAGCTGTTCAGAGGTTTGATGCTGCTGTAAGTCTCTCTCGCATGATCCTATCTATATTTCATTCTTGATGTATACGAGTCCAACATTTGTAGTGTAAAGATTGAAAAAAACCATTCATCTGCCTATTGAGAAGCTTTGAATCTTTCGTGTTATTATTGAGTTTTTGAACTTTAAGTTGTTTTTAGGTGGAAAAGCAAGAGGGATGACGATACAAGAAACACTAGATGAATGTTAAGAAAAGGTGCTAAAGAATTAAAGGTTGTTTTGAGGGTCTTGTTCTCATTCTAAAAGCTTTCTGGAACTTAATCCCAAGTAATGTGATTTGGCTTTTCTTATACACTTGATGGACAAGCTGCTTCTCTGGACATGATTGTCTTGTTAATTGTTCTGTCCTCTATGAACTTATTTCCAGATTAAAGTCCAATATTTTCGTTGTTGGCTTATGAAATTATTCGTTCGTATCTAATGTCAACCATGCTTCTATTATCAGTCTTTGTTTTTAAAAGCATATCTGATGACAATCATCATACCATTTGGTGTCTTAGCTCGTAAAACTTAAAAAGCACATGTGAGCCACTACGGGTGAAGACATTCTTGAATCGTCGTATCCTTTGTGGAGGAACCAATTCTCATCCCCTATCTCAGTTTAGGAGCTGATTCCATTTAAACTAAAAAGTTATATTTTTCTTTTTATTAAGGACAAAAGAGAGAATTGTTAACTTTGCATTGAATATTGTGATGTAGCTACTTTTATCATCTTAATCTAAGGTTGTGAGGATTTTGAGGTGAAGATCGACTGTTGCTCTGTTTTTTCTTAGCCACTTAAATGATGTCAGGGAAACAAAACCTCATCTATTATCTGTGAGGACCCTTGTGTGTATATACTTCATTCAGGAAAGATTGTTTTACCTCTAAAATAGTTTCGTGATTGCATCCTTACTCTTTCTTATGCAAGCAAGGTGTTATTGCTGTTGTTTATTTTATTATTTGTAAATGTTGCATATGCCAAGTCATCATACTATGTCTAAAATATCTTTAGAGAAAAGCTTATGTAGTTTTCTCATTTCTTCTGTCTAATTTAGAATATTAAGTTATCTTGATGAATTGTTAGGCAAAGAGGATCGAAAATGGCGTATATCTTGGACCGATTGGACAATTAACATTTGAAGGCAGACTTTCATGGAAAAAGAGAATATTGGCTTTCACTTTTGAGAATCTACGAATAAGAGTTGGACCTTTGAAACCTCTACAGATCAGCCTAGGAAACAAGGAAGACATGGAACCAGGTACCAAGGATCCTTTTTTCATATGGTTTTATGTAGATGAGGAAATAGCTGTTGCTCGAGGCCGGAGTGGAGGAACTGCGTTTTGGTGTCGGTGTCAGCGTGTCAACGTTTGATTCTTCTTAGCTCCAAAGATTCATGTAGATAATTGTAAGCAGTTGAAGTTCAGGTGGAGTTAAATTTATTTGTACTTGTATACTGTATAGCTGTTTACATAAAAACCAGAAAACTGAAATTTATACTTTGGATTGAAGTTTTTGTTTCATGATGATGGACCACTGCTGTCGAAAATCGGGTCAGGCCATTTGTGAGGAAATAATTATTCAACGATCAAAGAGAAGATGATTTAAAAAGTAAGATAAGAAGAGGAAGAAAATAAAGATTCTCCACCAGGTCCAGTTACATAATTGAACAAGTCAATGTGAAATTGTATGCTTCGGAATGTGTTTAACTAGAAAAGAAATTTTAAATAATATATTTACTACGTATTTTCCTTGTGCTCTTTTTAATTTGGTCGTTAGTTATATTCTCTTTGGCGGAAACATAATGTGTCAATCAATACTTTATTTTAATGTTGTCACTAAGTATCTTTCCATGTCAGCAGCTAAAGAAAACTCATCAAAGCCCCAGATTTTTTTTGCATCATCACAGTAAAAGATATGTACAAAGCTAGATTGTCCCTATATGGACGTCTTAAACTGCCTATTTATCAAGTTTTTTCTTTTTGAATGATTTAGTAATGTTGTATTCTTGCAGTGTACAGATTCTTGGACTACTATCAAAATATTGTTTCAGAGTCAGAAATTAAAGGAGCATAATAATGTGTACTTGGTGTTGCAGAAGAAATTACGGGATTTGGCATTGTTGCTTGTTGAAACAGAATCTGGATTATTTTTGGATTTGATGGATGCCATAATATATAATGTATTCAAAACAAATGCAGAAAAATGGTTGACAAGTGTTCTTTTGAAGCTTATTCTTTTAATCAGCAAACTCCAATGACTTAAAAATATTATGCTACTCCATAGCCAATGGGAAAAGGATGCATTAATCGGCTAAAGACTGATTTTCCATCTTTGAGAATGACTTTTGGTAGCTTGCTCAAACAGTGTAGATTTTTTATCAAGAGCAACTTCCCTTTTAGGGGGAGTGGGAAAGGAAATCTGGTGCGAGGTCTAAGGTCAACAATAATATGTCACCTCTGTTTCGGTTAAATTACTTTTGCATTAGTGTACGTGGTGTTAATTTGAATAATTTATGATTGTAACTATTACTACAATTTTTAAACTGACCCTATGTAAATAACTGAATATCCAATCAATAAGAAAAAATGGATAAAAAACTATTACAACTCACAAGTTACTACTTCAAATGTCTATATTTCCATGTATATTCACAATGCTGAGATGCATGCTTTTGTACTAATGTCTAATCCAACCCAATCAACAGACATGAACTGACAGACCCAAAAGCGGGGGGCAAAAACAAAAACAAAAAGAAAGGAATAAAAAAAATGGAAACAGGGTTTCTCGGACCCTATAAAGCTAATCTAACCCTTTATCATTCAAATATCACATGTTCTATATATGACTGAGAAATTTTATTGACTTGTACAAAAACAACTAATGATGACATGACATATACACAATTCTTGTATTCATAACACTGCACAAATATTATAGGTAACTGCAGTGGCTCAGTTGTGTAGAGAAGAACTTCTCACTTGGACCTGCAGTTGGAACATTCTATGAGACATGGATGCAAGGTTGTTTCCTTGGCATAATTAACAATAGAATGGACATGCTAATTACTTTACAAGCTTGACGTCTGGATTTCTCATGGTTTTCAGCCACATGTCAGCCACTATTCGTGATGAAATGCTCCATAACAGGTCTTGCTCCTTTGCCAATGCTTGTTTCCCTTTCTTCGCTGCCTTTCCCAACCCATATGCAACCAGCCATTGCATTGCAGTTAGTCTATGCTTCTCATTGTCCCATGCATTCTTCTTTGTGGCACTCCTCACCTTGAAACCTCCAACATGCATGCTCATAACTTTGAACCTCTTCTCTTCATTGACCTTTGTGTCAGCACGTATTGCATGAATAAGTACCATCACAGGGCTTCCAACTGCTTCATAGCGTCTCATTGGATCCCTCAATTGAACAACTAATATTAGTGTGACTCTTTGTGGTTCACTATCAGAACTTTCAGTGTTCTTGTTGTAGGTTTGGTCTCTTATCCAATCCTCAAGTGAAATAGCAGAAGCCAAAAGATCTTTCCCACTGTCCCCTTTCTTTGAGCTTAGTGCAGAAACATCAAATGGAGGTTCTTCCTCGGCCATATCAGCTTGAACTTTCAAAGCTTCAACTGTCATGGACTCTATCCTCTGCATTGCAAACGCCAGAAGCTTCTCTGCAGTTAGTGGATCTTCATCAACATTCCAAAGTCCTGATGATATTCGTTCTTTCCTTCCTGAACTCATTGCATTTGCCATGCTTTTCAAGGAAGAAACTATGCGAGCAGCACTTGAACTGGCTCCTTCCTTGTTCCTACCTTGTATGATGGCAGAAGCAATGCCTTCAAAAGCAACCTGTTCTGCAGTTTTGCCTATCAGTTCATCTATGGGCATCAAGGACAAAACTTGAGAGCTGAGTTCATCAAGACCAATGCCAGCCAATTTCTGAAATAACTCAAACCCACTCAGGGATTGATGTGATGCCAACACAAAAGGCTTTGATATCTGCATTGCTAGCTTTGGAGTATCTTTTCTAGCCACAACAATATCTAAAGGATTCATGGAAGCCAAGTAGCCACCATCCTTTGTTTGAACCACGCAACCCAAGCCCTTTCCAAGGTCAGGAAGATACACTTTGGATTCTCCATCTGTAGTAGAATCCTCATGTTTTTCAAGTTGCATAGGTGGTATTTCAGGTTGATTGAACAAGTATCCTCTGCTGTCTTGATCCTCGAGCATCTGAAGAAACTCCCTAGTCACTGTTTCTTCATCTGCATCTAGCCTCTGTGGCTCTGTCTCATCCTCTATTTTCATAAACTTGTCATCATCTCCCATCATAGACTCAAGAGCTTTTATCTGCTGGGCAATTGAATCAAGCTCTGACAATCTTGTAAGGTGAAAATGGTCATGAACTATTTCCTTGACAACCTCACTTGAATCTGATTTCTCAGGTTCCCCTCCTCCATCTTCTTCCTTCTCTTGAACCTCAACCCCTTTATCAACAACCTCGAAATCTGGAAGATCAAAATCCTCCACCTTTTCTTTAGGTTCATCAAGATTCAAATCGTCCATTCCTTGAATATCCTCAGCTAATCCTGACTGTGAAGGAGTCCAAGAATCGTTTTTGCTCATCATTCTTGGACTAGGCATGCTGAAGGATGTCTTGGATTGTTTACGAGCAAGAGAAGATGAGAAAGTACTCAATTTCAACTTGTTGCTGGACTTTGAATTATTCTCCACTTGATTATATATATCAACTCCTCCATCTTTCTCCATGATCTGGAAACCCAGTTTCAGAACAAGTTCTCCTCCTTTTGCCTTCCCAGACAAACCAAAGCTTGTGTCCCATTTCCGAACCCGAGTGCCTTGTTGGTTTTTCTCAATGGATTCTCGAATCAACTCACTCAAATCCACAGAGCTTCTTCCAAAATCAAGCTCTTTAGCATCAACAGCAGAAAGGTATATCCAAAACGGGCGTGGCTCAAGCTTAATCTGCCTTCCACTTCCATGGTTTGTGGTATAATAAGCATGGCACCTGATGAAAAGTGTTTCTTCAAAATCAGCAGCACCTTGTGCAACACGTGATGGCATTGTCTTAACAGCACCTTCCTTTGTCTCCTTCTTTCTAACACAAACAGAAAGCCTAAGTCCATTCATGGAAGAAGGAAGGCCTTGAGCAGTGACCACTTCAACAGAAAACAAACAGCTTAGTTTCTGCATTCCAATATGAGACAAAGCCCGTATAGGCTTCCACCGCCAAATCCCTTTCTTGTCATTGTCACCTGAAGAAGTTGATATGTTATCATCCAGCTTTTTGATTTCTGCATTGGCGATGGCATCATCAAGCTTTGGTCTTGATCTCCATGGGGACAAGGACATGCGACGTGCTCGTGGTCTGTTACTAATTTCATCATCAACTTTATCTTCAACAGATGGAACTGAAGTTCGTGGCAAGACAAGGGAAGCTGTTCTTCGAGCTGTGTGTGATTTGTAAAGGGATTCACTCAGAGTCTCTAGTTCTTCTAGGAGATGGGCATTGGGATTGCTCTTGGAAGCTTCCATCCCTAGTGAATGAAGAAGCTAATACTGCAAGGAATGGTGATGATGATTATGATTATAATGATAATGATGATGTTGCTTTGGAGGAGTAAGAAGATAAGATGGTCACATGATTGGAAGTTAGAAGGATTATGCAGTATGGCGATTGCTGGTGCATTTTGAACCAAGAAAATCAGATGAGTTAGAATTGTGGAGGATAGAAGATGAATGGTGGCATCGCATTGTGTACCTTGGTGAGTAAGACAAATTTGAAAATGGATATTGAATAAGCAAACTGGTCCCAGCTAATTTAATGTTTGTTTATCTTATTTGCTTGCAAGTGGTACCCTACCACTAGTAAGTATGTTCCATTGGTGCTGGGAAAATGAAACTTTCCTACTCTCCCTCAACCCCCAAGTTAGTTAGGAAGTAGTGGAAACTGGAAAGTCTGCTCTGTTAATTTATGCTCATAGTGCATTGGATTTGGATCTTCTCATGTGTAAAAGTGGTCATGTTATTTGATCATAATCACTCATTTAAAAATCATATATTTTTCTCTTTCTTATCTCATCATCAATGAGTGAAAATAAATGGCTGTAATCAAATAACATGACTACATGACCACTTTTTTCATATGAGATAATCCAAATCCGAGTGCATCAGGTGCTGAATCCTAGAATCAATCAATTAAAATGTCGGATTCATGGGAAGGGATATTTCCATTTAAATTTTTTCACATGGTTAAATTATGTTAACATATGCCTCTCTCTTAATAGATATTTACAAATTTTAATAAGATTTCACTTATTTAATGTATATTACAAGAAAGATTCAAAGTTGTCATACCACATTGTCCTATGAAAATTTTACAGGGAGAGAATGCATTTCTAGTATTCACTTGTCTCTTTTAACTGTTAAGAGAGATTAGATGCTGCTGCTATAAGCTTTTTCTACTTCCTAGCTGTATTTCACTCTTATTCACAGAATTCTTTAATTTCTGAGGAAAAAGATTAAAAAAATCCCTTCATGTACTTAAAAACTTTTAACCTTTTATTTTATTTTTTGAACTAAAGTTTAGCCAATATATATATATATATATATATATATATATATACACATGGGAAAAACATTTCTCAAGCAGCTTGAGAAAAGTTTATCTCCGGCTACTCCAAAACTACGTCGTTTTATTTATTTATTTCCTTATATTAATTGATTCACCTTTGAATGATTATAATTCACTTTTTCTCTCTCTTCCTTTATCACCAACTTGTAACGCCCGGCCACTTGCAAGGATCAATGACTGTTCCCACACACTAACACGAGACTTTTCAGTGTGCTTTGTCCTCATTCGCACACTTCTCGGGAAAACTTCCCAGGAGGTCACCCATCCCAAAATTGCTCCAAGTCAAGCACGCTTAACTGTGGAGTTCTTCCGATCAAGGCTACCGAAAAGTAGATGCATCTTTTTAGTATAGGTAGTACCAATTAATTCTTATAAGTCATTCCCAACTGTACCGTCCCATACCAGCACAGTCTCTGGAATCCCTCTCTTTCGGGTGTTGATTCGATTCATTCGTGCATGTAACCCCGCACTGGAAGCCTGTCAGGAGCCGCTCCTTGTCCGTGCCTCTTCACACCGGCGATCACTCCCCGCCCTCGTCAGCGCTCGGGATGTTACATGCGCACCAGCTTCCGCTTGGTTCGTCCTCGAACCACACCGTACTGGATGAGAGACCCTGCTCTGATACCACTTAACAAAAGTATAGTAACTATGACCTTAGTAAGTTATAAATAAAATTAATTCCTATCCTAATAATATATGGAATTCGAATCTAAGCCATGGGTCTACACTCCAAATGTACCCAAAATTATCAACTAGATTAGTCTTCCAATCATTAACTAAGGGTTTATTCTTTGTAATAAAATTACTCACATACTATTAATGAGTACCCATATAGTACCCATCTTTGTACGATTGTGATTTAGTAGCCGGAGATAAAGTTATCTCAAGCAACTTGAGACACAATAAGTCCATATATATATATATATATGGGGAGGGATCTTTTGACTCTAGAGTAAGACTTACAACTCTTACTCCTCATCTCAACCGTTGATTTTCGTCCATCTAACGGTTATCTATACCAATTAATTAATTATTAATTTTAAATAAATAATAACAGTTAGATGGACGAAAATCAACGGTTGAGATGGAGAGTAAGAGTTATAAGTCTTACTCTAGAGTCAAAAGATCCCTCCCTATATATATATATATATATATATATATATATATATATATATATATATATATATAAGTTAAAGGTGGTGCACAAAAAGTGGTAAAGATTCAATATAATTAGGTTAGGCTTTAATAGCTCTCCTGTTGCTGCTGATCAGAAAATTTACAACAACACTTACTTCCACTAGGATCCGATTCTGTATCTTGGATTTTTTTTTTTTAATTTCAGAATCCGGCTCCGTATCTTATGTAAATATATTTGCTGCAAGTTTTTCCATCAGCAGTGACAGCAGAAATGAGGAACCCATTAGGTTATTATTGTTGACCTTTTTTGTTGTTGGTAATTATAATAGCCCTAGCCTAATTAATTAGTACATTATATGTGATTAAGTAATTAAGCATGTATTAGTGAGTAAAATTAAGTATAAGGACTAATTAAATGAATGAAGGTCACTTTGAATTTAAAAAGTGCTGTCAGTGAAAATTATGGGGTAAAAATCGGTGTAGACAAAAGTACCCAAAATATAAAAATAAAAGTGGAAATATTCCTAGAAAAATATTTCAGACTTTTGGGTAAAGTTTGGTGGTGAATGAAATTGAATAGATATATAAGCTGTTACCCGTTGGAAATAACTTAATCTATGTTAAGTTGAATTAACAAGAAGAAGCTTCATTTCTTCTTCTTCCCACCGTCAAACTTGAGAGAGAATAAGAGAGAGGGAGAGAGTGAGAAACCCTAGCTACTTCATTTCTCTACCAATCTTAGTGATTCAAAAGCCTAAACCACTCATAATCTTGTGGTGAGAGATTTCTTCCTCCCAAAATTTGACCTATTTGGTGATTGGAGGAGTTTGAAGGTAGTTCATTCCATGGGAGCTTAGGAGATCAACATCCCTTGGTTGTGCAACCATTTGTGGTAAGTTTCTACTCCTTGAGCTTTGTTTTCATGGAGATTGCAAGATTGAGGAAGATGATGAATAGTGTCATGATGGGTGGTATGAGTTTGATTTAAGCTTAATCCCTTTGTAAAAGTTGTTGTAGAGGATAAATAAACGGTAGAAATGAGTTTAGATAGTCATTTAGTTATTGTTCAATATGTGGGAAAATTCATGCTTGGGCTTATGGATGTTCTAGCATTTTGAGCAATTAATGAGTTAGATAATTGCTTGTGTCATTGTGTTGCTAGGATTGAGGCAAGTGGACCAACTTTGAGTGACCACTCATTGGAACAAGCTATGGAGCTTGATTAACTCATTTGGATAGGTAAGCTCATGCTAAATCGTGGTGTAAAGTTGTTGTTTTGTTGATGAATATGTTGATATTCATTAACTTGTATTGATGAATTGTGTGACACCTTGACATAGGTGTGTATTTTGCAAAGTTGTAGCCTGAATTCAAAGTTGATTGGTTGCAAACATGTTGGGGAACAAAGGTTGAATTGGAGCATTGAGGTAAGCCTTCAGATCTTGGTGTAAATCCCTTTATTGTTCCACCAAGCCCTGAATGGGTAGTGGTTGTTGATAGTGTATGTAAATGCAATAAGTAGTTTAATGCTTTGTTATACTTATGTGTATGCTTTGGGTGTGGCATAGGATGGTGTTTCCCTATGTTTGTATGTTGCATGACGATGCGTAAATCATATTTGGTAGATTCTCTGATCAATAGGACTATTTGCATCTGAGTATCCTTAGGATAACAAGAGCTCGAGGGATTTCTCCTGGAGATGTTTTACACACTGCATAGATATGTATTTACTGTGTATTGCTATTATACTGTGATGTGAACTATGGGGTGGAGAGATGCTCCAAGGACCCTTGGTTTACTGTGATATATTCGTATATCTCACCCCGTATTGTGGGGACCCCTCTTTCAGGTGCAGATGCTGCAGGAGCCTCTAGTGGCAAGTGGCTGTATTTGGATTAGATGGTCATATGCTAATAGCCTGACATTTTGGATTGCATCTCATCTAGGATAGTAGATGTATATGTCATTTACATTGTCACATGTATATGTATATTTTGAGGACACATGATGTATTTTGGGGACTTAGTGCACGATCATTGTAGTGGTGAATGCCTTGTTGTATATGGCTTATAGCTTTGATCATGTTCCTTTTGTAGCTAAGTTCCTTGGCATGTATATGAAATTGGGAAGAACATTGATGTAATTGAAACTTTGATGTATTGATGAATATGTAGTTATCTTTACCATTTTGATTTGTAGGATGAATTGGTAAAAAGTTTATGGAATGTAGGTGCCACATGGTGTGTGACCATGGTGCGTTTTTCCTTGTCAATTAGGTGTAATAACCCTTGAAAGGGGAAGGAAGTTTCCCCAAGAAATTCACCAAAAACAGGGGAGACCAAGTCTGCCCCAGGTGTAGAGCGCTCAAGCGCTGGTTTGGGCGCTCAAGCGCTGGTTTGGGCGCTCAAGCGCGCTATATACGTGAAAATGAGTGAAATCCCCTGCCTCTTGGCGCTCAAGCGCTGATTTGGGCGCTCAAGCGCGCCGGTGCACGCCCAAGCGCGTTGAAAAACCTGAAGATGGCAAAATTCGCTGCCGTTGGGCGCTCGAGCGCCTATTTGAGCGCTCGGGCGCGCATCTTGAGACAGCCCAACCTAGTTTACTGAAATTGGCACAACTCAAGCTACAGATCTTCGATTTGAGCGCGGTTTGAACCCACGCGAAGCTAACTGAGAGATCTATAACATAGTGTGAGATGAGAACTATAAAATAAGTATAGGAATTCCAATTTAATAAAAAGTGGTATCAGAGCAGGGCCTCTCATCCAGTACGGTGTGGTTCGAGGACGAACCAGACGGAAGCTGGTGGGGCACTGTAACATCCCGAGCGCTGACGAGGGAACAGAGTGATCGCTGGTGCAAAGAGGTACAGACAAGGAGCGACTCCTGACAGGCTTCCAACGGGGGGTTACATGCATGGATGAATCGAATCGACACCCGAAAGAGAGAGATTCCAAAGGCTGTGCAGGTATAAGATTGCACAGTTTGAGATAACTTATAAGAATTAATTGGTACTACCTATGCTAACAAGATGCATATGCTTTTCGGTAGCCCAGATCGGAAGAACTCCACAGTTAAGCGTGCTTGACTTGGAGCAATTCTGGGATGGGTGACTTTTTGAGAAGTTTTTTCGGGAAGTGTGGGAGTGAGAAAAAAGCACACTGAAAAGTCTCGTGTTAGTATGTGGGGATATTCATTGATTCTTGAAGCGGTCGGGCGTTACAATAATATATTATTGTTGGCCTTTATTCCTACTTTCAAACTGTTTTTCTCACCATACCAATGTGTTTGGCCAAATTAACTGTCTGTTTAATTCGTTTTTTTTCAAATATTTTAAACTAATATGGTCAACGCTGTTCGTTGATCATACAAAATAAATTTAATATAATATTTTTTTTCTTTTGGTCAATAAACCTCCAAACACTTCTCGTAATCTACGTCTATTTTAAAGCAAAATCATTTGTTGGCAAGTTTGATGACGTGTCAATTTTTCATGTATTCTTCACTTTGTGTTCACACTATAAACAACTTAAATTTTTTCCACTTTTAGAAACAATTCGAATTTGAATTATCATTATTTTTTAAAATTTGTTAGTGACAGACAACTATATTAATGTCTCACTACTTTCTACATTGAAATTGTTAACCCCATTAATTGTTTCCACTAATTTCTATATGAATAATTGTTAAGCCTATTAATTGTTCCTACTATTTTTTGCATGTGTAATTGGTAATCCTATTATTTGAGTTAGTACGTTTAATATTTTAATAAACACTTCATAGTTGAAGTTAAATGTGATAATTCAAAAGACCATTTATTATCTTAATTGCATAGAATATAGCGATATAGTTTTACGATTTGCATTAATTTTTACGAGACAAATAAACTAATTTATTTTTTCTCCAGTTCATCGCACGGGTAATACACTAATATATACAGAAAAATAGTAACATATTTTTTTTTTAAGATTAAAGAACGACGGTCGTCGATAAAATTTTTGATTTTTTTCCTCCGTGCATCGCACGAATAATTAGGGGTGTTCGCGGTCTGGATTGGATCGGTTTTGGAAGCAAAACTCATCCGATCCATTCCCTTCGGTTTGATCATGTAATCATCCATTCGGTTTAGATTTTTTTTCAAATCCGATCCGATCCAATCCAATTTTTTTCGGTTTGGATTGGATCGGTTTTCAATTTTTTGAATATCCTAAAATTAGTTTCATGATTATTGTGCAAATAACATCTTTTGTATACATTGGCTTTGTAAAAAAAAAAAATTTGAAATACAAAAATATCAGTAAACAATACTATAGTTGATGAGACGTGACTAAGTTTTTTCTTGGATTTAGTTGATGAGTTAATGAGTCTTGAGTTTAGAAATTTTTGGGCTATGATTGGGGAAAGGACAAGTAGGTAGAGGATAATTAATATATTGGATCGGTTTGGATTGGATCGATTTTCATCAACCCATCCGAAAACCGATCCAATCCAATTAAAACTTGCGATTTTTTTTCGGTTTTCGATTTATTCGGTTATCAATTTTTCGGTTCGATTTTTGCCGTTTGAATCGATTTGGATCGGTTGATGAACACCTTACGAATAATGCACTAGTTTCATACAACTTGCCTCGAGCAATTGTGCAGGATGATATGGATTGCGCTTCAGGATTACTTTCTTACTTGTATGAACCCCATTTTGGGATTGTGAAATATCTGAGAGACTTATTTATCCATTGAAATTATGAAATAAAAGAAAATAATTAAGGGGAGACGTGCTACCATCATGTTTAATTTTTGGAATATTGTAACTATAATTAGTATTACTATCAATATTATTACCAATGAATTTTACCGTTAGATTGATTATGGTGATCAAACGGTTATATTTATTTTTATCTTTGTATGGTTATGATTCCTTATATTTAATGTGAAATAATTAAATATGAGAAATTATAACTATACAAAAGTGAAAATAAATATAAAATATTAAATATAAGAAATCATAACCATACAAAGATGAAAATAAATATAACCGTTAGATCAACAATCTAACGATGAAATTGATTAATAGTAATATTAATAGTAATACTAATTGGTTGTTACAATATCCTTCTCTTTAATTTTTTTATTTATTTATTTTTTAAAATTTAACTTGTTTAGTTATTGTGCGGAATTCTAAAACTAAAGTTCAATCATGAAGCTCTATTTTTTAAAAATAAAATAAAATAAAATAAAAATTATTTCTTTGTGACAACCTTTAAATGCTGTAATGCTCTTTCCCCTCTGTTGCTTTCGCTTTGAGGCTTCAGCTACTTACTGTTTTCAGTTCTTTAATCTTTCATGTTTCAAAGGCTTTCTTCTTAAATTTTCACACTTTTATCATCTTTCTGATAAAACTTTTATTTTATCCAAATGACCCACTTGCTAAATTCTCAATTCTTTCAAATCAGCAACAAAAATGGCAGACCTGAATCTATCCAAAAATGTAGCCAATAGATATCTAAAGCAAGAAGTCCTTGGTGAAGGTACCTATGGAGTTGTTTACAGAGCCATTGATACCCACGTAATCCCCCCAAACTTTCTTCTTCTATTCTCTTTTTGTCACCTCTTCCTTATAAGCAAAATCTTTCCCCTTCTTTTTCTGGGTTGTGAGAATTGTCTCTTCTCTTTCAGTTGGTGCAAAGAAAATCGACCAATCAGAGTAAAATAAATGTTCATATAGGGCCTTAGAGTAATGTAGAAAGGAAAGATACGTTTATTTGCTTTGTTTTCTTGAATTCGATGTAGGGCGTTTGTTTCAACAATCAGTTTCAGCAAGAAAATGTAAGGGAAAGAAAGCTTGAAACTTTTTAATTAGTTTCAGCATTGGTTTGGTAAAGTTGTGGCCTGTTCTTCGTGTAACTTGCAATGTATAAATCCAGGAGATATGGTTATATATACGTGTTCTTATAGAAATAAATTCATTGCATTGGCAGACAGGACATACGGTTGCCATTAAGAAAATTCGACTTGGCAAGCAGAAAGAAGGAGTAAATTTCACGGCTCTTAGAGAAATTAAGTTGCTTAAAGAGCTCAAAGATCCAAACATTATTGAGTTAATTGATGCATTTCCACGTAAAGGGAATTTGCATCTTGTGTTTGAATTCATGGAGACAGACCTTGAAGCTGTCATAAGAGACCGAAATATTTTTCTCTCCCCGGCTGATACAAAATCTTACCTTCAAATGATGCTGAGAGGTCTTGCTTTTTGTCACAAGAAATGGGTTATGCATAGGTAGAGTACGTTGCGGATTTACTTGTTACAAAGTTGTTACTTGATTTAATTGCTGAGCTCAAAAGTTTGCTACATATTTTCAGGGATTTGAAGCCAAATAATTTGTTGATAGGACCTAATGGACAGCTGAAACTTGCAGATTTTGGTTTAGCACGGATTTTTGGAAGCCCGGATAGAAGGTTAACTCATCAGGTTTGCTTCTTTATGGCATGTGATTGAAAACTTGTTTCTTCTTATGGTTGTATTTTTCACTTTTTGTTAGTCGATTGACTTTCTACACACATATCACTTATGCTTATTAAACATGAATAGGTCTTCGCTCGATGGTATAGAGCTCCTGAACTATTGTATGGTACCAAGCAATATGGTTCAGGGGTTGATGTTTGGGCAGCAGCTTGTCTATTTGCTGAACTTCTTCTTCGTCGACCCTTTTTGCAGGTAAAAAAGATTGTCATGTTGACTAGATCGAATGGATTATTATTTTTATAATAAATGGTTGATGTTCTGAAGTAGATAACAAAGAGTTGTCCATTTATTGGAAAGTTTAATCATTTAACTTCATAAACTAGTTTATATTGCCTTATTGCACTTCAAACCCTAAATCCAAAATCTTAAACCATTCAAAGCTGTTTTGCTGATCTAGGATCAGCTCTGAAGCTGTTGGCTATGGTGTTTGGGTACATTATTGACTATTAATTTGGCTTCTGTGTTATTCCTGCTCTGTATTTATTACTAGCCCTTTTTTAATGCAATTTCCAAGAGTGTAGACGTAATTTGAATTGGTTGATTTTTTTCATCTATTTCTTTTATATATTATGATCAAGGAAGTCCCGACACTTGTAAAAACAGAGAGAGTCGTATTTGACACGATCCGACACGGCGACACGCTGCGACACGGTGTCGGACACACGGTAAACTTTTTCTGACACGTTGACCATTCCGACACGCGAATTTGACCGTGTCCAACACGTTCAAATGACATTTTTGTAATTATTTTTTTATTTTTTTTAAAATTTAAAATATATTAATAAAGCTTCCCTCTGATCATATCAATTTTATTTTTTTGTCTTTTTTCCCCTTAAGTAGATAAGAGATCATTTCAGCATCATTGTTGTCAATTCCTATCACGCTCTTGTTGTATCTCCTTCTCTCTAATCTCTCTCTAATATGATTTGATCTCTCTATCTGATATTATATCTCTTTCTCATATCAATTCTTATTTTTTTTATTAAAGCTCCCATCTTTAAAACGTGTTAATGGATATTATTAATTTAATTTCATTTTTTTGTTAAATTATTAAATATTAAATGAAATATACACTATATAAATTAAAAGTATTATTTAATATTAAAACGTGTCCCAACGTATCAAAATCCATAATTTTTTAGGATTGACGTGTCGCGTGTCGTATCGGTGCTACATAGATTATCATAACAATTAAGCATGTTTCTTTTGATTTTTTCATTAGTTTGTTTTTATCATTTGCTAGGGTTCAAGTGATATACATCAATTAGGAAAGATTTTTGCAGCATTTGGGACTCCAACACCTTCTCAGTGGCCTGATATGGTATACCTACCTGATTATGTCGAATACCGATATGTTCCTGCTCCCCCTTTGAGTTCTTTATTTCCAATGGCAAGTGATGATGCTTTAGACCTGTTGTCAAAGATGTTTACATATGATCCAAAAGCTAGAATTTCAGTGCAGCAGGCACTAGAGCACAGGTACTTTCCATTAACATCCCATTAAGACATCAATAATTATCTTTTCTCCATAATTAATCTCTCTCCTTCTACTTTAGGTACTTTTCTTCTGCACCTCTGCCTACTGATCCAGACAAGCTCCCTAGACCTGCCGCCAAGAGGGAATCTAGGGCTTCTGATTTCAATTTACAGGAGGGTCCTACTGTATTATCACCTCCAAGAAAGTCAAGAAGAGTGATGCCAGGATTGCAAGCAGATAAGGTTGATGGCAATTTTGGTGATTTCAGACAGACGGTTGGTGATGATACAGGCAAGAATGAATCAGCTCCGATGTCTGTATTTGGCTTAAAATCTCCTACAAGACCTACAATTAACAGGTAAAGTCGTATTGATCATCCAATCAAATCCAAAGTGGCATAATAGTTTGTAATTTTAACTGAGTCAAACATTAAAATAATTACTTCAGCTTGCATATTGAACCATAAACCTTTTGTTAATTTTAAATTTTAATGCTGTTGGAAAAAGATAAGCCAGGCTAATACAGAACCATGTTAAACATATCGTTTTAGGATATTGTTCTACTGAAGTTCCTGATTAACAATGATGAAATTGTAATATGCCATAACACGATATGTTGTAAATTGTAATATGCTTGTGCTAATACAATATGTTGTAATATTCTAAATGTTGCAAGAATGTGCCAGATGTTTTTATCTTTTAGTTTCTACTTGTAAATGATGTTTTATAATTTTTGTTCCATCTTTTTTTTCTGCAGTGCTGACAGATCACGTTTAAAAAGAAAATTAGTTCTAGAATTCTAACAGCCAGAGTGAATATTCTATGATCCAAGCTTTATCACAAGCCTTTGGGGAGTAAAATGCATTTGACGAAATGCAGTGAATCCTGGAAGGCTTGTTTGTAAGTCATTCTTTATCTCTGTTTTTCTGTGTGAAGTAGCAATGGATATGTAGATATTCAAAGGAAGAAGTAGCAATCACAGAAAATTAGTTGTAGAGACCGAAGTAACTTTTTTATTTATTTATTTATTTAAAGAAAAAATTTTAGTTATCACACTCTGGTTCCCCTTGTTCATTTTTGCTCTTCATCCTTTCCAGAGAATTTTTATATACTTGAGTCCATGGAAGACATTGAGTGTGAGGGCATTTTCTTGAGCCATTGTTGTATCTGGTGCTTGAAAAAATAAATTTTTGGGGGAACTAAATTTGAACACACCTTTGTTGTTGAACATAATAGAAATTCTTATATGCACTTGGAATGTATATGTACTTTCAGACAGGTGAAATCCAATTTTAATCAGTTGAATACCTCATTTAAATTTGGTTTTCCAAGCTAATATGCATTTTTTTTTATTTTTTGCTAATTGCTTCCTATTGTAGTTGTTGACATTAAATGACTACTTTGATTCAGTGCTGACATCTATAATACTTCTGATGCTTCTGCTTGGGTTTAAATTAATTAGAAGTTTTCGGTGGAGATGTGCATGGAAGAAATTGGATAGAATCTTATACATGTAGATTCCCTCTCTTAAAACATTATATTGAACTTGTGCTCTACCTTTGTACATGGCAACACAGACTGACAGATGATATTTTGTTTAGGTCTTCCTTTTTTCTTTAAAATACCTTCAACATCAACATTAATAACACCTTTAACCCAAGTTAATTGGGGTCGGTGGTAGATGAACCCAATGATGAATAATAGGAGATTAAAAAAATAAAATAAATAATAATAATAATAATAATAAAAAATACATAAATAAATAAATAAATAAAATTTGGGAAAGGGGGAAATAAGATAAAAGACAAGAAGAGGAAAAAAGAGAGAGGGGGGATTGAAGAGGAAAAGGACTATAAATGGATCATCTGGAATATAGGAATAACAACACGTTTAACCTTCCACCCTGCTTATAGCTTTTTTTCCATTCTGTCCTAAGACACACTGTCTGCCAATCTATATTCCACTCCATTAAGTCTTGTTTAACTACCTTTCTCCAGGTAAGTTTCGGTTTACCTCTACCTCTTTTTGTGTTGAACTCTTGGTAACAAACTTTTGTTCTTACAGGAGCATCCAGGGGCCGTCTCATTACGTGCCCAAACCACCTCAATCTATGTTCCCTCATCTTTTCAGTTACCGGTATTACTTCTACCTTTCGTCGAATATCTTCATTTCTTGTCTTATCCATCCTCGTATAACCACACATCCACCTTAACATCCTCATTTCTGCTACTCTGATTTTATGCTCGAGTTGCCTATGTGCTGGCCAACATTTAGCTCCATATAACAATGCAGGCCCTACTGCTGTTCTATAGAATTTTCCTTTTAGCTTAAGTGGAATTTTGCGGTTACACAAAAACCCAGATGCACTCCGCCATTTCATCCATCCTGCTCTGATTCTATGATTTACATCCTCATCAATCTCACCACCTTTTTGCAAATTTGATCCCAGGTATCTAAAAACATCTTTTTTGGGTACCTCTTGACCAAGTAGATGCACGGGGTCTTGATCTCCATGTCTTACCAGAGAAAACTCACACTTCATATACTCAATCTTGCTCCGGCTTAACGTGAAACCTTTAGACTCCAAAATGCTTCTCCACAATTCAAGTTTCCCATTAACACTGTCTTTAGTCTCCTCAATAAGCACAATATCATCTGCAAAAAGTATATACCACGGCATTGAATGTCTTTTGTTAGTTCATCCATCACTAAGGCAAAGAGATAAGGAATCAAAGCCGAACCTTGGTGTACACCTACTCTAACAGGAAAATAACTTGTTGTTCCATTACAAGCTTTCACACATATAGTAACCCCATCATACATATCCTTGATTGCATTTACATACTTTAATGGTACTTTTTTCTTCTCAAGAACCCACCATAAAATTTTTCTTGGGACCCTATCGTATGCTTTCTCAAGATCTATGAACACCATATGTAAATCCTTCTTTTTTTCTCGATATCTTTCCATCATTTGACGCATCAAGAAAATAGCTTCTGTGGTACATCTTCCTGGTATAAATCCAAATTGATTCACAGAAACCTTGGTCTCTCTCCTTAAACGATGTTCAATAACTCTTTCTCACAACTTCATAGTATGGCTCATAAGCTTAATGCCTCTATAGTTAGAACACTTCTGGATATCTCCCTTGTTTTTGTAAATAGGCACAAGAACACTCTTCCTCCAAGCATCAGACATCTTATTTGTTTGAAGAATCTTATGGAAAAGATTGGTCAGCCAATTTATTGCCACCTCCCCTAAGTCCCTCCACACTTCAATAGGTAAGCCATCGGGTCCCAAAGCTTTATTAGTCTTCATCCTCTTTAAAGCCTCTTTGACTTCATGTGTATTGATTCTGCGCACAAATCTTCTATGCAGATCATCATAAGCATCTTCTAAGCCCACCTCGCTTTTATCGCCATCCCCATTAAAAAGTTTGTTAAAGTAGTTCATCCATCTTTCATTTACATCTTCATATCTTACCAAAAGTTTTTGGTTTTCATCCTTGATGCATCTAACTTGGGTGAGGTATTTACTTTTCTTATCCCTCATTTTTGCAAGTATGTATATACCTTTTTCACCATCCTTGCTCCCAAGGTTTTTATACAAATCAAACCTTACCTCTAGCTTCTCCCACTGTTTTCTTTGCATTTTTTCTCGCCGATCTAAACTTTTGCAAATTATTCTCATTGTGACTTTTATGCAAAGATCTAAAGCATTCATTTTTCTGTTTAATTGCCTCTTGCACCTCTCCATTCCACCACCATGTTTCCTATGTATGGAATCCAATTCTTTTGCTTTCTCCTAGCACCCTCTTTCCCACCTTGTGCAATAATTTGTTTTAATAAAAAGCCATTAAAAGAGATGTTTTTTTTATTGAAAATTTAGATTTTAATGAAGTCTAACGGTGTTAGTAGATTTATGTAGCTGATCTCACGGAGTGGGATGGTGCTTGGCCATTCTATTTTATGCAATGATTTAAGCCTTCCTTCAAAAGCCATATTTTGTAGGGAAGATTGGATGTTCAATCATAATGAGTGAATAAATAATTACTTGGAATGGTTATAAATTCATTTTAAATTAAATAATCATTTGAGTGGTTATTTTTTTTTTTCCATTGTAAGTACCCAAAAGTTCTTTAAAATACAAGTGTCCCTATTTTACTTTGTATTCAATGGTTCTTCCTTTCACAATCTTTATTCCGGTGCTTCTTCCCTGATTGGAGCAGTAAACAACAAAATTTTTTGGAGACAGATTTTGTGATCAGCATGATAAAACCATTAACCATAACTTGATTAGGGAATTTGTTCCTGTGTTTGATATGGTAACAAGCTGTCTCTGAGGGTAGTAGTTGGCGAGATGGTTGAGCGCTCAACTCTGCTTTGAGCTTTCCTTGCCTAATAAAGAATAAGCGTTGTGGTAATGCAATAACAGAACAGAGTAATTAACAAAAATGAAGAACAAAAGTCAGCATATAAACGTTGAGAATTCTGAAATTGCTTACTTCTTCCTCCCAATTAGTTCGAATAATAAAGAATATGTAAAATATCACTTGCACAATAAATGCAGAGATAATCCCCAACCACAACCCCTGTTTGATAGAAAAGAATACAGTTAGAACCTGCAAGAAAAAAGAAAAAGAAAAACAGAAGCCAGATATGGCAAGAGTTATAAAGGTTAAATAACAAGTTTTACCTTGGCTTTCATATGTACAAGAAATGATAATGCAACAGCGCAAGGAACGCCAACAAGATAAAATGAGCCAAGATTCACATAGGCACCAATCTTCTGCCGCCCACATCCTGCAAGAATACCTGGTTGTGGACACATAAGTTGAAAAGGTAAGTTGGGTAAGTGACATTATTCTATGAGAAGCACATTGTATAAGTAGGTTTATAATACCCCTAACCCGTTTAATTAGAAAATGGCATGTGATTAAATATTTAATCATGCATAAATGAGTTAAATTAAGTAAAAGACCTAATTAAATAAATTAGGGTTACTTTTGAGGTAAAAAGTACAGTCAGTGATATTTTTGTGATAAAAATGTGTGTAGAAAAAGTTACCCATAATGCAAAAGTAAAGTTAGAAATATGACTGGAAAAATATTGTAGTTCATTGGGTAAAGTTTGGTATTAAATCGAGGTGTGTAGATAGATAAGTTGTTATCCAGTTAAAGTAACTTAACCTATTTGATATTAAAAACGTGAATCCTTCTCTTTGTTCCTACGCTCTTTCTTCCTCTTTTCTCTCACTGTTGCTCGACTTCCATGGAGAAAGGAACCTAGGGTGTAGTTTGTTTTCTTTGATTTCTCCTTCAATCTTCAACTAAATCACAAAGTCCACTACATGAAATCAATAGTAAACCACCCAATGAATCCATTCCACCACTTAGTTTGAGCTGATTTTGCTTGTGGAGAAAGTTATTCATCACCCCCAATTCGTGACACTATTCATCCTTGTGAAAAAGTGGGGTTTTTGAGTGAGCAAAGCTTGGGGTTTGTTCTTTGGAGCTTGGAATAGCAACTATAGGTGAGAAACCTCTAATCCTATGCTTTTATTTTTGTGATTTATATCTTGAAATTTATGAGCATGTTTTGAGTGAGAAATAAATTAGTTTAAAATTTGAATTGATGATGGATTGTTGATGTGTTGGATATAGGAATGTGGAATAAGCATGTGAACATGTATAAAATTGGAAAAAAATCACATGGTGAGATGCCCTAGATTTCGGCCTTGATAGGGTAATTAGGGGTGATGTGCAAAGATTTATTGTATGTATTGGGAAGGTTTAATATGTTGGAATAAGTGGAAATTGGGTGCATTAGTGAGAATGCCAAAGTGGAAAAAAATCCTATGTAGTATGCTCCTATGTTTCGACCTTGATGTATGTTGGAGGAGTCTAATGTTTAAAATTTAATTAGACATTGTGGATATGTGTATATATATATATATATATATATATATATATATATATACACATGTAGGTGTAAGTTGAAAAATTAAGTGAAGAAAATAAATGGAAAAAAAGAAAAGAATCCTTTGAGATTCCCTTATATATTTCGACCTATAGGGTGGTTTAAGGATAAATTTAGTTACATTTTATTTTATTAAAATGTATAATTTTCCAATGAATGTAATTGAGGAGTTAAAGAAAGGAAATGACTTAAAAATTATTGAAAGAAACCTTGGTTCCCTTTAGGTGTACCCACGACCTTATAAAGAAAAATGGCATGAATTATGTTGAAAATTCTCATGTGGATACTTAGTTAATTTAGGGAACGTTAACGATTATAAAATGATGAATCGAAGGAAATTATAAAGATATGGTCTAGACTTGTGAATTGGCATAGGATTGGCAAACATGTAAAGAAACGAAAATAAGCGATAAAATGTATGCCTTATGTAAGAGTCATGGCATAGTATCATTTTATTGATTTTGTTGAAGATTCTTCTCTAGGTGTGCCTAGGGAAGAGAAAGGATTTGAATCTTATTGAAGCTACATAAGTAACTTGTGCCACAAGAAAGCGGATTGGTAAAGCTTCAAGAGGTAAGCTCTATGTTTAAGGAGTCTTTTCCTACTTGAGTGCTACACCATGGTTGGACTGTATGACTGTTGTTTTGATGCCTTGTATAGATGCATTCATATAGAGTTATTTGATAACATGATATGACTTGTCTTGATATGATTTCTGTATTGATGTATGGTACACTGATGTCTTCTTGGGGTCTTCCCTGGGATTGACGATGTACACCTCTGGCATGTTCTGGTTCCGCTTGGGGTCCTCCCTTGGGAATGACGGCACACGCCTCTGATATGATATGAAAGATGTTCTGTTCTGTTATGATATCTGTTATAAATGCATTTGTATACTCTGTATCTGACTTTCATGCAGGAGTGGGCCAGGGATATGGAAAATTCTCTATAAACCTGGAGCTTATTGAGATTTGTAATCTCACCCCTCTTTGGGGACATATTTTCAGGTGCCCAGATTCCCGGTGAGTCCTCACTAGGCAGAGACGCGACCCGTGGTTGAGGCGTTGGGGACGGATCAGTTTTTGAGTAGCTGTAGGCTGCTAACTTTTTGGAGTGCATTTATATTATTTCGTATGTTCGCATTTGATAGATCATGATGTTAGATCATTTACTTTGTATATGGCATGTATATGTCTTGTACATGTTCTTCAGTTTGATGCACGTACATTTTTGTATTCAGGCATGTTGATATGACTATGTAGTATTTAGTTATGTTTATGTATTGGATTGCATGCTGTTAGATTAGCGGCACTGAGTCAAGTTATGCGTGCGCCCATGGATGGGTATCTGATTATATTTGCATGACTGGTACTTCTGGATTGATGTGCTGTATAAACTGTTTATCAGGAAATGCTTCCGAGTGGAATTGGAAAATCCCCAGTTGTCCGATTTATAGAGGAAACTCTGCCCGATTTTCGTTTACGCCGATTAAGAATTAAAGTAGAAAAAGAAAAAGTTAGCTCGTATTTTCGTAAGTTAAGTCTTCCGCTATTTCTGTTTATATCATATGCACGTTAATCGAACCGGCTCGAGACGGGGATGTTACAAGGCTCATTGTGATACCCTATGTCCTGCATGAGATAACCTTGGTTTGGCTTTTTTTTAGGCAAAGTTGGCCAAAATTGGTACCATGATCTTTAATGAGTATAAGGAATACCTGAAAGTGCACTTTGGATCCCATCTAGGAAGCTGGAAGTGGCCAAAACTAGCATCATGGCTGACACGTACCCAGTTACTTCCTTGTCATTACTATAAACATAACCCCAGACATCCCGCAGTAGAATCATGATTGAAACTAAAATGATGCCTTCAATGAAGGCTATGGATAACACCACACGAACTGCTAGACTTGCTGCTCGTGGATTTCCAGCCCCCAGTTCATTGGACACCCGTGTGCTGTGAAATATAGGATCAAATCCAGTTACACATATCAAACTTCAATTTCATGCTAAAGAGTCTCCAGTGTGCTCTGATTACTATAACTGACATAAGCTCAGGTACATAATAAAAGCAAAGAGTTATTTGAGTAAGTTATTAAGATTGTGCATAAAATACCTTACAGCAGCACTGTATCCGAAAGGGATCATCCAAGCTAGACTAAATGTATTCAGGCTGGAAAGATAGACAATTAAATTTTTATGCCCTCAATTAGACACTTCTAGTAGATAGGGGATATTACACAAGCGAAGAAACACGTGCAGATGCACTGAAGAATGTTCTTAGTGTGTGTTTTCATAGTTCGGATACTAACCATATTGAAAGCACTGAAGTTTCTAATTCTGGGTTAGGAAGAAGACCAGACATGAGAACCATCAGTTCAAATGTCCAGACTTTCAAGCTGTTCAATGTTAATGACAAAAATATGCATAAGAACTCTTGAGAGTTTAGTTTGGATTAAATTATTGCTTAGGAGGAGTTCAAAAAATTACCAGAGCATAAGAGCTGAAGGAACAGCGAGTTTAAGGAAGTCAAGGAGATTGTGCAGGGGCCTCTTTGAAAAGCCTGTCCATGATTGTTTGCAAGAAGGAGAAAACTCCACATAAAGAGAAATCAAGATCACATTTACCCAGTAAGATATAGAATTGGATAAGGCTGCCCCTTTGCTTCCAAGCCTAGATTTGAAAACAAGAACCCAACACAAAAGTATGTGAAGCAAAGCTGCAATTCCAGAGGTTAGCATCATTGGGAAGACAATATTTTGGTTTTGCAAGAACTTGAGAATGCACTGAAGAAGACCGTATGCAAATAAACTTGGGATCATGAAACGGGCATATGAGCCAGCTTCCTTGGATATGACTTTGTCCTGATGCATAGCAGCTAGAATTGGTTCTGTGTTTGCCCAAATGATGGCAAGGAATACACTAATTATTGAAACAACAAGCATGGATCTTTGCATGTGTATGCCAAGCATATGGTACTGTCCTGCCCCATATGATTGACCACAAAATGTGTCCATTGCACTAGCCAATCCCATCTGATGAAAACATGTACTAATTTGACGTGAGGCATATAATTATAAAAAAAAATTGAGAAGTGAACATTTTCAGCACAATTTAACACTTGTTATCTAAGCAAGTATAAATTCATTACTATATTAGTCATACATGTCTGACTTATTATGTTTGATGAATTGCATTGCTTGATGCAAAGAAAAATATGGAAAAAGTATAGTGAGGAACCTACCAATAAGGTGAAGCCGGTGACTGATGCAAAGGAAGTGGCCATGGAAGCACCCGAAAGAGGTAATGTACCAAGATGGCCAACAAACATAAGAGAGATAGTTTGGAGACTGAACTGTAAGATTCCAACTGAGCAAAGAGGCACTGCTAACCATAGCTGCCTCTTCACTTCTTCCACCACTTCCTGTCTCCGGATTCTCATGCCTGACTTAAGATAGTAATAACCTCTTAAGTTTATATGAGCTCCAAGTTTATGGCCCTGAACGGTAACAAATTAGTAAGTACTCCATAAGTGAAGACTAGCCAAACATTGAGTACCCTCAAAGTTAACTGTGAAGACCCATTATTTTAGTGTACAAACCAGTACCCACTATCAATTTTCAGGGTTAAATGGAATGTGTTGGGAATGGATCCTCATGTGTTGTGTTATACTTAGGGAGAGATTGCCGCCACTATTTGAGCTTTCCTTCTCTCATTGAGTCATGAGTCATGAGTTATGAGTCAGAAGTTTTGTTTTATTGAATATTTTACTCACTCTTTGTTTTCATTTATAAGAGCTTGTGCCATGTACCGAGTTTGATTGACGTGTGAAACCAAATAGAATTTCTCTTTCGCTGTTACCTGACCTCCTCTTTCTATCAGTGTTCTATTTCCTAAGATAATGTCTTTCTTTGGAGTGTTTCTCATATTTAGAACTATATTTTGTTTAAGGGTTTGATTTTCTGTGACTATTCAATTAGTGGTAGATTCTATATGTTTTTTTTTGTTTTTTGTTTTATAAATTTTACATGTAAATTGAAGAGTCACAACATGTATGCAACATGATAACGGTTTTTTCTTTTGTCTAAAGTCACTTTTACACAATATATATATATATATATATATATATATATATATATATATATAAAAGTAGGATCCTTTGACACCAGTGTCAAATTTTAAATTTGACACCATTCTGATAATCGTTAGATCAAAAAAGATTAACGATTCTGGTTTGTAAGCATCTGATACCGTTAATCTTTTTTGATCTAACGGCTATCAGATGAGGTGTCAAAGGATCCTGCCTCATATATATATATATATATATATATATATATATATATATATAGGTAATACTTCTCTCATTTAATATGAGAGGAGTTTTCTTCCTACACTAACAAAAAATATGGAGCTCACAAGTTAAAAAATAAAAAAGAAAAGAAATTACAGGAACGTCTTTTTATGTCTGTATGACATGAGATAATTATCTCCTACTGTTGGAGAAAAATAATTTCATATATATATATATATATATATATATATATATATAGTAAAATCATTTCTGCAGCCACTTTACGTACAGTAACGACAAGTGTATGGTTATGATTCCTCACATTTAATGCTTTCATCCTTTGTATGGTTATGATTATCTGCATTTAATGTTTTCAATTATACGTACAGCAGCTGCAGAAATGTAAACCCCCTATATATATATATATATATGCAATATTGTTTGTCATATTATAGGATATAAAGTTTTGTCCAATTTTTTCATTATAATTATATATTTCGGGAAATACCTAGTTATAATATTTAAGTTTTGTTGTGTGTGTGTGTATGGGTGTTAGTTTTCTTATGTTGCTGATGATAAACCATAATTCCTGCAGACACATAAATACATGGGCCCACCATTTTATTTCAAAAAAATCAAACAAAAAAAGATGGCACAAGTTTCTATCTATCAGCATAAGAGGAAATATGTTTTCCTACAATAATAGATAATGTTTTCCATATATATATATGAGTGAGGATATTCTAACTACCAAAAACTCTTACTATTAACTTACTACCCATCACATCATCATTCGATCAAAGAGAGTGAATGTTAAAAAGTTTTTGAAGAGAGAGAAAATGTTAATCTAATGGTGATTAGATAAGTAGTAAGTTGGTAGTGAAAAATTTTGGTAGTTAGAATATCCATCCTCTATATATATATATATATGGGCTTTCGATTGGTCCTGTTACAGCAAAGTTTTTTTTTTTCCTACAACACAAAACGACAAGCAAAATAATAATAAAAAAAAATTAAAAAAGACAAATTTTATTTTGTCGCTAGTCTCGCATGATAGGAATCATGTTCCTGTAACATAATTGTTATTAATCCCTATATATATATATATATATATATATATATATATATATATATATATATAAAAGAAACTTAATTATAATTATAAAGAAAATTTGATGTCAAAATCACCCGTTATATAATGGGGTGACTTCATTAATAAAGATCGTGTCCATATTATTTAATGAGGTTCAAGCAAGTTTTTACCTAGTAAATAAATCAAATTTAGCTTGTGTATGTCCATTGTACCATGTGGTGATTTACGGGGGGAAAAATTAAAAATATATATGGTTTGCCTTTCTCTTATTTAGAATTTTGTAAAAAAAAGAGAAAGAGAAAGAGAAAGAAGATTTTTCATAAATCTTCAAAAACTCTCTCTTAGACACTTTTTATAACATCCAAACCATGCAAAGAATGTATCCTCCATCTCTCCTTTTTTTTATCCTTCCCTTTCCGTTTGATTCCTTCTATTTTCTTTATCTTCCAAATCCAGACACACTCTTATGTTTTTGTAAGAATGAATTCAACCTAACCTAAAAATTTAAATATTAATAATTTTATATTAGATTTCTCTATCATACTCTCTCGTATAAAAGCTTGAAAAGTGATAATATCATATTTACTTACTTAGGCTAAAAACTTTCACAATTAAATATTTATTAAGAGAATTTAAATGATAGAAATTATACTCATAACCACTTGATCATAAGCTCTAATACTATATAATACAATTAATTAATCCAATTCAATATACGAGAAATTTGGTATGTTGTCATGACTTGTTTTAGGTGGAGATATGGAGAAAATTTTTGGTGCACCGGGAGCATGAAACTTGCTCCTCTTTTTTATTAAAAAAGAAATTTCCCCCCTTTTTTACCTATATTTTGTTTATATTTTCTTTTAATTTTTTTTTCTTTTTAATAAAAATATTGCATGTTTTAGATTTGTGTGCTTCTTGATGTGACTTGCACCTTATTAAAATGCAAGGAACAATTGATTATTCGAGTGTTTCACCGGCCGTAAACTGTTTTGTAGATTAATATTCAAATCTAGCAAATCCTATTAACAACCCAACATGATTAATTAAGTACATTGATTGGATGCATAACTGATGTGGCGTAGTGCTTGTGATAAACCTTAACATCATATTGTTAAAAAGCAGTAGCTTATAGTTTTTTTTGGTCATTGAACACTTGCCCCAAAACAAACTATTTTAAAGCTTGTAAGAAGCTTGCCATGTTGACTTTAATTGTAGCTCTTTTTGGATTTAGGAACGTTCATGGTGCCAACATTTAAAATATAGTAGGTGAATAGATCATATAATATTCATGAGAATATGCCATCTGCTCGTTGAATCATAGACTCTGGCATTTTGAACTGAACAAAAATCATAATAAAAATTCCTGAAATCATATCCAAAGGCTGTTAAGCCAATAACAACTCTAAAAAGTTAGAATCTACTTTTGTAAGAAAGTTCACATCCAGCAATTTTGTGGATAGCTATGATGGAGTGATACTTCAAAAAATTTAACTTGTCGTAATCGACACTTTTTGACATTCTCGACACTCCGACTCTCCCGAAACTTCAATACGCGATGCAGAGACTCAAAAAAGGGATCAAAGGTTATATTGTGTTAGATTTTTAGTTCTAATTATTAAATTTGTTGAATTACGATTATCGTTTTATTGAATTTAATATAAATATTTGTGATATCTTATATTTATTTACAAAATTGATGTGTATTATATAAGTTTAACTTTATTTTTTTTAAATTTTTGAATATTGAATATAATATACACTACATAAATTAAAAATATTATTTAATATCAAAATGTGTCCTAATGTGTCGAGATCTAATATATTTTAGAATTAACGTGTCAGAGTGTTATGTCGTGTCTCGTGTCGATATCGGTGCAACATATGTGGATAGAGCTCGTGGCAGGGAGAGAGAGCTAACCATGGGTTAAGTTAGCAATGATATTATGTGGACTTAGACACCACAATAAACACAAAACTTTAAGGTATTAGGTGCATAAGCGTTTCCACTTATATGGTGCTAACCTGAGCCTATTTGGATCCGCTTTTTTTAAGCTAAAAGCTACTTTCAAGCTAAAGTTAAAAAAAATTAAAAGTTATTTGGTAATTACATAAAAATTATAGCTTAAAAATTATTTAAAATCTCAAACTTCATTTCAAGAATAGCTGGTAAGAGCTTAAAAAAAAGCCCCTCCTAAGAACTTTTGGCTTTTTACTTTTTTCTTTATTATAAAAAAAAAACTCTTTTTATTATAAGAGCTTTTGTAAAAACCTATTTGGCCTAATTTCTGCTTATAAGGCGAAGAGAAACTAAAAAAGAGAGGATTCAAACAAGCGCTTAGGGTGTGCATGACAATCTTTTCGGAATCATTTTTTTGATTTTTTGTAAAATCAATTTAATTTTTTGTTCTCAAGATGAACTGGTTTAATTTTTGTGCTAATGAAGAGAAAAAATAATAATAAAATTTCTTTTTTTTGTTCCCGGGCACAAAATGAGAAACACTTGTCTCTCTCAATCACTCTTCTCTACTATCATCACCACCACCACCATCATCCCGTCACGACCAATGCTACCATCATCGTCATTGTCGTTGTACCACCAGTGTCATTGTCACCACCATCACTACCACCATGCTACCGCCACCACCATCACCATCACCACCACCATCATCATTGCAGTCACTGTCGCCACCACCACCACCATCACCAACCACCACTACCATCACCGCAGTCATTGCTGTCACCATCACCACCACCGCCACCAACCACCACCATCATCGTCGCAGCCACTGCCACCACCACCACCACCACCATGTCATCGCCACCATTATCACCACCGCCATCGTCGCAGCCACTGCCACCACCACCACCACCATGTCATCGCCACCATTACCACCACCGCCACCATCACTGTCTCCGACCACCACTACCATCGCCGTAGCCATTGTCATTACCATCACAACCATTACAACCACCACCACCGCCACAGCCACTACCGTCACCAACACTACCATCACCATCATTGTCATCATTACCACCACCACACAATATGGAAAAGAAAATGATGATCCAGATTTTTTTATATTTAATAAGAATTATTTTTTATTATATTATTTGTTGTGTTATCAAACACAACTCTCATTTCGGAATAAAAATAGAACATGTTTTAATTTTTTTTTTCTCAGAAATTGTTCCAAAGCACATAAATAGAAAAGAATCGTTTCTTTTTAGAAACAGTGTCAGGGAACAGATTGATTGTCATGCAAAATATGTTATCCATGTTTGGTATGTCTTAGGGGGTGTTTGGTATGGAGAATTTAATAAGAATGTTGGGAAAGTAGGGTAGGCAAAATATGTTATCCATGTTTGGTATGTCTTAAAGTTATAAAAAACCAGTAAATTATTTTTCCCATGACTTTTTTTTTTTGAACTAGGCAATGGAAAATAAAATGGTAGTTTGAAGTGTGGTATTTTTTAAATCCAAGAATGGAGAAACATATTTTACTATTTGTAGACAAAAATGCGCTCAAAAAGTCTATATCAAGTACAACTTATTTGAAAAAGTCTATAATGAGTAATTTCGTAATTTCATTACACATTTTTATCAATATTTCACCATCAACCAAACAAAGCATTAATAAAAATAACCCAACTTTTTCGGTAAATTTTTTACCTACCAAACACTTTTTTGTAACTTACCCGAACACAAAAATTTCTCATCATATTCAGATATTTTTTTGCCCAGAAATAAAAAAAAAATTCCCATACCAAACAACCCCTTAGTCTATTCTTAACCAATTTGGAATTTTATCCACTCGTACTTGAATTCCTCGACACATCAAACATTTCATTGACTATTAATATATGAAATATAATTTAAAATATTTATTATGAAATCAGTATTTGATAAATCCATGACAACTCATGCTAATAGTATCTTCATTCCTATATAATTTCTAGATGAGTATGGTAAGCATCAACCAAATCTAAGATAATGCAGAAAAAAAAAAACGTGTCGTTCTTTAATCCAAATATTTGTTGGGAACGTGTAGCGGTGAAGACATCACAGCTTCACGAGATTATGTTGTCTGGTGTTATTGAATCATGGACTCTGTCCGTAGCCTTCTTTGCCTGAATAAGAAACATAATTTTAGAAAAAGATGGGGGCAAATAATCAAACCAGCATCACAAAAAGGATAAAAAAGATAAAACAAGAAGGCAAAATTTCACCTCTTGCTCCCAATTAGTACGTAAGGTGATGATAAGTAAAGATAATACTTGAACAACAAGTGCACATATGATCCCCAGCCAGAGCCCCTACAAAAGTATTTTTACCAGGTAAAATTAAATCAGATGATAGCAATTTTTGTTAATAAGATAATACTAAGGAAATTTTTTTGCGTACTTTTCAAGGACACAAGTTGTGTCATTTTAGCTGCTTATAACTATGTATTCCGAGAAGTACATAGTTATAATATTAAAATTGTACTTTTTTTTCATTTTCCACGTTAGCCAATAACTTCCGATGAGAGAAAAAAAATTCAACTTTAATATTATAATTATGTACTCTTCAAAATACACAGTTGTAACGCGCTAAAATGACACAACTTGCGTCCTTTAAAATAACAAATCATTTTCCCTAATACTAATAGTACCATGTTGCTATGACACAAAGGAAAGACTTGCTTTACCTTGCCTCCAACATGCAATACAAAAGCTAATATGATAGCTGATGGAATGCCAACTAGATAATAAGAGCCTAGATTGATATAGGCACCAATTTTCTGCCAACCACATCCTCTAGCTGTGCCTGCATGCATTATACTTAACAAATTGAGCATTACTTCTAACTAGCTAAAGTGAAACACAAACAAAATCAGGACGGAACTGAACCTTATGCTACATGCTTGGCAAACCAAACTTTACAATATAAATTTTTGGGCATCCTGCAGTATTACCGATCTTCATAGGTAATGAAAGAAATGGGGAAGAAGAAAAACCTGAAAGTACACACTGAAGTCCATCCAAGAAGTTGGATGCTGCAAGAATTGGTGTCATGATTGCTACATATTCGACAACCTCTAATTCATTACTATATGCATAGCCCCAAATATTGCGTATTAGTATCATCACTATTCCAACTAAGGTGCCCTCAATAATGGCCATTACTAAGACAATCCACACTGCTAAACGTGCAGTCCAAGGATGACCAGCTCCAAGTTCATTTGATACACGAATGCTGCAAAGACTCACACAAGCATTACTTGAACTATATTCTATACTAAATCAAAGGAAAATTAGCATTTTTGACACTTAAGTTAAATGGTGAGGTTGCCACAGAACTCTAAAACTTGATAAGCACTACTTACCTTACAGCTCCACTTAAACCAAATGGGATCATCCAAACAGTTGATGCCGTATTCAAGCTGAGAAGACCAACATTAGATTGGTGAAAATAACAAAAAAAGTCAAGTGTGTGTAGGACCTCCTAGGTTATATAAGAATTGTGAAAAGAATGTCAATTATGCAACTGACCAGATAGAAAGTACTGATGTTTCCAACTTCGGATTTGGTAGAAGACCGGATAGGAGAACCATCATTTCAAATGACCACATTTCCAAGCTGTTCAGCAAAGTGAGAGGGAGAAAAAAATGGAAAACATTAGGATCTCAAACAGCATTGAAAGTGTAGTGTTAAGAAAAGGAACAAAAGAGTAAATCTTGATCAGTTATTAGGTCGTATTAAAATATTAGAGAATGAAATTACCAAACCATAACAGCTGAAGGAATGGCAAGCTTCATAAATGAGGGAATGTTAAGCAGTGCCTCTTTAGAAAAGCCTGTCCAAGTTTTTGCACACGAAGGAGAAAACATGACATAGAGTGTCAGTATCAAAACATTAACCCAATAAGAAATAGAATTTGCTATGGCAGCTCCTTTGTTCCCTAGTCCAGATTTGAATACCATAACCCAACATATAAGAAGATGTAGTAAAGTAGTAACCGCAGAGCTGAACATCATTGGAAATACAATATTTTGGGTTTGTAAGAATCTGTTTATGCACTGAAGAAGACCATAGGCAAAAAGGCAAGGAACCATTAACTGAGCATATGTTCCTGCTACTGCAGATATTTCAGGATCCTGGCCAAGGAAAATCAGAATGGATCTTGTGTTTGCCCAAATTATTGCTAGGGGTATGCTGACAATCATAAGAACGAGCATGGCCCTCTGCATGTGTATGCCTAACATACGATGCTGCTTTGCTCCATATGACTGGCCACACAAGGTATCCAACGCACTTGCCATTCCCAGCTGTCCTAATCAAAAACCAAGAATATCTTAAATCACACTATACTATAGACCATAATATTGCTAGCTTAATGCATCCATATCAATTTTTTAGTGCCTCTAAAATAAAGTTAGCAACTCAAACCATTTACTTTACAATTGGCAATTATTGACAAATTTTATTTTGAACTAGTTATATTGACTTCCTATGATATATTATGGCATGAAAATCGAAAACTAGAAAAGGTTCTCACTTAGCATATTAAACTAAACTAATAGAACCATGATATTGATAGCTTCAGTGCTAAATAAATAAACAACAGTATGCTTTCCAGTTTCCATAACCACCAATAACCAAATTGGCTAAAAGGGTGTTTAAAGAAATGAAGATAAAAGTAAAAGGGAAGTTAAGGAAAGCACAACTCACCAACAAGCTAATACCAGTGACAGAACAAAAAGAAGTAGCCATTGAAGCACCAGAGAGAGCCAACTCCCCAAGGTGCCCCACAAACATTACAGATATAATCTGTATGCAAAAATTTAGCAGGCCCACAGATATCAAAGGCCCTGCAAGCCATAACTGCTTCTTCACTTCTTCAAAAACTTCTCTTCTTTCTATTACCCTTTTCTTGTTTTGCTCTATATGATTATCAACAGTGACTCCATGTTGCCCTGAGATTTGAATCAAGGGAGACCGTAGAGATGCGTTTTGATCTTCTCTCTCCATGTTTACACTTATCAGTTTTTCACACACTGAGTGAGATATCACTTTAAATAATAATACAGTTCTGAAACTAGGAACCTGAGGCTGAGATAATGAACTAGACAACTTATGCCATTAATTATTTATATATTTTTCACGTCCCTCCAAAAGTTTATTTTCTTTAATAAAAGGGGAAAGAATAGTTCGCTCTGTGCTCACCACAAAGCTCCAAAAGTTTATTTTCTAATGCGTTGTATCTCGGGAAGATTATGCCGGGAGGCTAACTTTTATTGACTATGATGAACATTTTATTAACTTTCATTGACTATCACCATTAAAAAAATGATGCATTGTATAAAGTAAATCAAATAGTATGCACTATGCAGTATTAGTGATTAAAATTTTTAATTACAATAATAATTATCTTTTTATTTTGATGCACATACAACATAGAATGAATTACTATGTGAATAATTTTTTTTTCACGTATATAATTAAAGGATCGTGTAAAAATAAATCAATAAGAAGAAATAAAAAATTAACTTTAATAACTATTTTAAAACTCAAGTGTTAGTTAATATATATATATATATATATATATATATATAGAGAGAGAGAGAGAGAGAGAATGAGAGAGAAAAAAGTGTTTTTTATTTTAAATAACATAAATTTGTGTCATTTTTGATAAAATTACGTAACCCAAGTGGGGTGGCTCAGTTGGTTGCATGAGAACCTCGGTTTGAATCCCACTAACACCATCTGGGGAGGGGCATAAGTGCTGTAATCCTTGGACTTGCATCCGAACTCTGGATTAGTCCTATAGGCGGCTCAAAGAGTCGAACCAGTGGGAATACCAGAGGGTTCTGATTCGCCTCCTCAAACCGAGGGTTTTGATTCGCCTCAAACTGGAGAGTTCTGATTCACCTCAAAGATATAATTAGGATCAGTATAAAAAAAATTACGTAATTTCTCTCATTTGGTAAGTTCGTCTTTCCCGTTTATAATACGAACTTAATGATTATGTTGAGATCTACAAATACCATTTAATACTACTGCATTAATGCTCTCGAAACTGTAGTGATGTTTATTGGGTAAGATTCCCCGTCGAATTTATAATAAAAAACTGAATCAATTAAGTTAGTTCATAAACTAGTTTGGATAATTTGAGCTAAATAAATTGTTATCGGTTCCTTTTTCAAATTCATATCTTTTTTTTTTTTGGTAACAAAATTCATATCTTTTAATTTAAGAGTCCAACACGAACTCGAACTCAATCAACTTTTTTGAAATAATTTTTTAAATTTTCATTTTTCTCTATCACTTCTCATTCTTTTTAACATTCATTTTCGTTCAATCTAACATTTTCATCTAGTATTCAAATCATTATCAAGTATCTTTACTTATATTTGTTATTTCATTTATTATCATATTTTAGTCAAAAGATTAATAGAGTTATAGAAGTATAATTGTAAAAAACAAATGTTAATGAAATATTAATGTCAAATTTTAAAATTGGTTTAATTTGCTATTAATAAAAAGTTTAAAATTCTAAATAAAAAATTAATAGATGTGGATTAAAAGTTTAAAAAACTTAATGTTTTCAAGTATTGAACTTGTATGTCTTTTGTGAAGAATAGTCGTGTTACATTAAATAATTAAATAATAGTAATTCAGTTGGTGTATAAGAGTTAAATAAATGAGGATGAAAGTATGAGTTTGATCCTTCTCCTCCAGTATCATTTTTAAGATATGTTTAAAACCTTAATTTTAAATCCGCTTTGAATAAAATTACCTCCTCTGAAAGATATATGTGATTTATTTAAAAAAAGAAAAGAAAGAAAAAGTCCTATTACCAGTCAACAAAGCCGACGCTGGTTCCGAAATGTCGTGCGTGGAGCATTGGTTCACATGATATTTAAATAATTTTTATTTTTAATAGGTTTTTTAATAGGTATTTAAATAATTTTTTAGAATTTATGTTTTAGATACATTAAATAATTTCGTGACCTAATTTATGTTGTCTCCTTCATTGTGGGCTGGGCTTCTGACACAAACCAAGTTGGGCTTGGCAAAACCATCTTGGGCAAGACTTTTTCAAGCCTATTCAGTGCAAAATAGAATCCGAAGAGATTAAGAGAAGAATGGAATGCAGTTCACCGCATAAGAGAGAAGTAGGCTTGGCAAAAATGAGCCGGGTTGGGTTAGGAAAAATGAGTTAGTAACTTGAGTCAGCCTGACTCGTTTCAGTTCGAAAAAAATTGAGCCAACCCTCGGGTCAAACAGGTTGGCTCGCGGGTTATGGTTTTTTTTTTAATACAAAAGTATAAAAATTAATGAAGGCAAAGTGGAAAGCTAAAACCTAAAATTCCAATTCAAAAAAATCAAACAAAAATACCTTGCATCTGCCAATAAGTCCAAAACCGTGCATTAAGAACCTTTTTTATAGTATGCGTGACAGTGTGAATGTGGTGCCAACTGGTAATAAGTCCAAGTCCAAATGCAAAATTTTCTATGGTTTATCTGTTGTATAATGTTTTGTATTGAATGAATTAATAATTTACGAAAAAAATGTAGAAGTTATAGCATCAATAAAATTTTATTTTATTTTTCATTTTTTCGAGCCAACCCGCGAGCCAATCCTAACTCGACTCGGGTCGGGTCGGGTTGAATTTTCTGGCTCGATTATTTTTCGAGTCAACCCTAACTCAATTCATTTTTTTCGAGTTGAACACGAGTTGGGTCGGGTTGAGCCAGGTTGACCCATTTTGCCAACCCTAAAGAGAAGACTAAAGTCTCACAATTTCATTAAACCCTTCCTATCCGTCGGTTAATTAGAATAGAATATTACACCATCATTACATGTTAGATCACATAATCACTCTTATCTCTAGAATATCACATCACCCTTTATGGGTTTTCTTGAGTATGTGATAAAAAGAAGGGAAATAATTGTCTTATGTCACATAAGACAATTATTTTATGTTGTACACTTATAAAATTTTATGCTCATTTTTCCTTTTTCTTTTATATTTTTTTAAAAATTATGGGTCTCACAACTTTGTTTCACCCACTTAAGATAAGTAAGTATCTTATGTGACATAAGATTAATAACTCCCTAAAAAGAAAGAGAAAATTTAACTTAAAAAGGCACCATTAATTGTCCTAGATTTGTATCAATTTATCACATACAAAATTCATTATTATGATCAGTTTTAAACCATCTGGATTGTACCATATAAATTGATTATGCATTTTTTCTCTCCAGATATTTCGATCGGTTTCTGTTATTAAAGTTTTAAATCACTTCTAAAAATGATACTGAAGAGAGAATCGAAAATCGAACCCATACTTTCTTCTACCTCTACTCAATTTCCCGGTACTAATGGAACTACCATGTTAAAAAACTTTCTTCTAGCAAGCTGAATGTGACGAAACATTCTTCAACAAACGATTCAAGTACTACTACATTCAGTTCCACTCAGATTGGTAGGGGAAAAATAATGCACCGAACAACGAAGTAAATGAATAGACTAAAAATAAATAAAAGAAAGCAAAAGTAATACTAATATTAGCATGTGAAATATCTTAGAACTCGACTCATTTTAAATAAAGAGAATTATATTGACAAACTTTTTTTACAAATTTATAAATTATTTTATGTCTTATCTGTCTGATTTCATTTAAGCACGTATTACCAGTAATATATAATATAATTTGAAATAATTTATAAATAAAAAATTTGTAAAATAATTTTTTTTAAACATGTGAAAGGAACATCCTATTATTCACAAATCATTGGCTTACTTATTATCGTACGCATATGAATAAATAACTAAAATAAGTATTATGCGCGCGTTGTCGTCTGATTATAATTAATTATTTACATCAACATGCTCTTACTTCCTATACGAAGCGAAGGACGGATAATCTGTCACACTGAAATTATTATTGATTGTCTTCACCTCTTAATTAAAATTTAATTAACTTGAAAAAAAAAACTAAATTGATGCAGTTGACCTATTGCACATGGCCCAACTATTGATTCAAGAAGTTTGGAAGAGTCAATCAAAATTGTGACATAATAAGTATGACTCAATTGTTAAAAGAAGCGGTAATTTAAATTATACTAAATTACAATCAAATTCTAGTCCAAATGAAGCAGCAATATGATTGTGATTTGTTTGGAAAAAAGGAAGCAACACATTTGAGATGTGTTTTGAATAATTTAATAGTAACTATTTATTTATTTTTAGAATTTAATTTATTGTTATATTTGTTTTTAGGATTTTAGATTTTAAATATTGGATCAATTTATATTTAATAATTATTTTTTTTTTGCAAGGATTAGTGTCGTTAGTCTTTAGAATTTCACAAATTTATATTTACAAAAATTGAAATCAGATTTAGTAATTTAATTATAAAATAAGAAGAATAAAATTTCAATTGAATTATAAAAATATATTGGCAGCCCTTCGGGCCGAACCTAGTTTTTCACCTCTAACTGTCAGCATTTTATATAAATATTTTTTTTTGCAAGGATTAGTGTCGTTAGTCTTTGGAATTTCACAAATTTGTATTTACCAAAATTGAAATTAGATTTAGTAATTTAATTATAAAAGAAGATGGATAAAATTTCAATTGGCGGGCCGGCCCGGAGTTTCCACCTCTAACTGTCAGCATTTTATATAAATAATTATTTTTTGCAAGTATTTGTGTTAATTACACTCTTGCAATAAAAAAATTGAAAGTTTAATTTCTTTCTTATGTACTAAATTAAAATTTTCATTTTTAGTTCTTAAATTTTAATAATATTTTTTTACAAAATGACAGACGTCATTTTTTTATTTAAATTTAAAATTTAAAAAACATTTATATTAATTGTACATATTTTTGTTATATAATTTTTTCTATTTTAATTTATGATTTTTATATATTTTTTTAATTGGTTATACATGTATTTTTTACTCATAATATAAAACAAAATAAAAATAGTAGGACATTAAATGAGTTGTCTGCCACAAAAAAAAATTTAAAAAGTTTTTCCCCCATTACAAAATTAAAAATTCAAATTAAAAATTTAAATTTAAACG